ACAGTACTTCTCTTCCCTGTGGCAAGTGCACAGCCAAGACTCTTAAGGAAACACAATGAATAGGAAAAGGCTTCTTTCTTATTGCCAATTGCTCCCCTATTGACTCCCATGCCTAAAGGCAGCTTCTTCTTCTCCACTAGCTCTTTTGTAGCAGCCAGGAAGGCAGTCTACGCAGCTCTTCATGTTCTAAACATTTGCTTTGTAAACATGCATGAGTTGTTGTTTTTTATGTACCAAGGAGAAGATGTGGAAGCATCTGGAACCAGAAGGCAGAAGTCAACTGTTTACAGAGCTGCCGTTCATGACTCTGGTTTCTTTGGGATAGACCCACACCCTACTTACAAGCCAATAAAAGCCGCACAGGTCAACTAGAAGCTCCATGAAGACACAGACCTTGGAACATTTAGGCCATCCTATGCACTGAAGGGACGCGGGTGGCGCTGTGGGTAAAAGCCTCAGCGCCTAGGGCTTGCCAATCGAAAGGTCGGCGGTTCGAATCCCCGCGGCGGGGTGCACTCCCGTTGTTCGGTCCCAGCGCCTGCCAACCTAGCAGTTCGAAAGCACCCCCGGGTGCAAGTAGATAAATAGGGACCGCTTACTAGCGGGAAGGTAAACGGCGTTTCCGTGTGCGGCTCTGGCTCGCCAGAGCAGCGATGTCACACTGGCCACGTGACCCGGAAGTGTCTCCGGACAGCGCTGGCCCCCGGCCTCTTGAGTGAGATGGGCGCACAACCCTAGAGTCTGTCAAGACTGGCCCGTACGGGCAGGGGTACCTTTACCTTTTTTTATGCACTGAAGAGATAGTAAAATAAAATTTAAAAATCCAACTTTCTACTACCTTGAAATCTGGAACCAGTTTCTTATTTGAGGCTCAAAGAAATCCCACAGATATGGGTCTCTGTTCAGATAATGAGTCTTGATCCAGTCTTTTGTAACAATGATGCATTACCTTGCTTCATATATTACATGGGTAGGCAAACTAAGGCCCGTGGGCCTGATGCGGCCCAATCACCTTCTAAATCCGGCCCACAGACGGTCCAGGAATCAGCGTGTTTTTACATGAGTAAAATGTGTCCTTTTATTTAAAATGCATATCTGGGTTATTTGTGGGGCATAGGAATTCGTTCATATTTTTTTCAAAATATAGTCTGGCCCACCACAAGGTCTGAGGGACAGTGGACCGGCCCCGTGTTGAAAAAGTTTGCTGACCCCTGATTACCTTGCCATCAAAGTCCAACAGGTGAGATGGGAGTCCAAGTGTATTGTGCCAACAATCTCAGATATATTCAAGTGAATAATGGGGGATTACCAGAATTCCAACATGACTGTATTTTCCATCTGAAAATAGCATTGGGGAAAGGAAAACTTAGGGGAAACACTGCACGAAAACAACAACACAGCACCATTTTTCATGGATAAATCAGACAACTTTTAATTCATTTCCAAATACTTGGTGAGATTATTAGCTTCACATACGGCAATATCACACCAGGATCAACTGAGCCACTCTGTTCTTGACAATACTGTTACTTCATTTGTCACAAAATAAACACTGTACGGTAAAAACCTATGCTCCTGAGTATACCTTGGTTGGGCTGATATTAAATAATTCCACATTTACTCTAGAAACAGAGGAAGTTGTCTTATACTGAGGCTGGATCTAGACATGTCAAAGAAGCGATTCAGTTAAACGCGTTGCAAACTCATACAGGGGAATCTGAAGGGAAAGATGGGCCTCCACAGTGCCATCTGGTGTCACAGGGTTATATAACACTTTTTCTTTACCAATCTAGCTGAGTCCAGAGTCAGCTTTCATCCATCTTACTCAGTAGATGGCAGTGAATCTCCTGGCAGCCCTACTTGGACCTATCCTGGGGAAAACATGTGCTATACCATGGGCAGGCAAACTAAGGCCCGTGGGCCTGATGCAGCCCAATCACCTTCTAAATTCGGCCCGCGGACAGTCCGGGAGTCAGCATGTTTTTACATGAGTAGAATGTGTCCTTTTATTTAAAATGCATCTCTGGGTTATTTGTGGGGCATAGGAATTTGTTCATTTCCCCTCCTCCAAAATATAGTCCGACCCCCCACAAGGTCTGAGGGACAGTGGACTGGCCCTCTGCTGAAAAGGTTTGCTGACCCCTGTGCTATACCATGGAGCCATGACTCTTTATTCCCCTCAATCTTAGATGCTATAAATGATCTGCCCATGTCCCCCATTCCAGATGTTAAAACTGAAAATGAATGCATGTCTTTTCATAAGTGCCACAATTCAGGAGACGGTTACATCACTTGGTTTCCTTTGCCATTACGCAATAAGCCAAAGAAAAGTGGAATCAAAATGGTGAAACTGTTGTAGAACCTAAGTTCCCGAATAGAGGTGTGCGTGTTCGTGCGCATGTCATTCATGTAATCTGAAAACTAAACCAGACCAAACAAAGAATGTCTCAAATGTTAATGGTCCAGGTTAGATTTCAGGACCATGTGTGGTGTAGGGAGCCAGTGTGGTGTAGTGGTTAAGAGCGGTAGACTCGTAATCTGGTGAACCGGGTTCGCGTCTCCGCTCCTCCACATGCAGCTGCTGGGTGACCTTGGGCTAGTCACACTTCTCTGAAGTCTCTCAGCCCCACTCACCTCACAGAGTGATTGTTGTGGGGGAGGAAGGGAAAGGAGAATTTTAGCCGCTTTGAGACTCCTTAAGGGGAGTGATAAAGCAGGATATCAAATCCTCCTTCTCCTCCTTCACTTTATATGCAGCAACTCCCACCTTCACTTCCTTGTTCACAGTAACTGTACTTTGGCATGACCTTGAAACTACTTTGTGTTTTGTGAACTGCTCTGAGATATTGTGACAAAGGGGCAGCCTACAAAAACCAATAAATAAATAAATATAAAATAAATAAACTAGGTTAACTGGGGTCATCACAGACCACAGCTGACCTTCAAACCAGAACCCAGTTTAAACCTTGCTTTCTAATTAGGGTTAGCGGTAATCACAGTTACTGCAAACCAGGAAACATAAGAGGGAATGGCTGTGGGCGGAGGGAGGAGCAAGGTGGGGCAAACAGCATTCAAGCAGGCCTGGGGCTCAGGAGCCGAATGCTGAACAGACAGACAAAAGGATATGGGGTGTAGGAGAGTACAAAGTATAAATTTGCATTCATTGCTCCTCCTACTTGTGCCTCTCAGGTTGAAAAAGATGCCCTCCCCCTGATGTATAATACCTTAGTAGACTGGACACATATTCTGTTTCAAGTAAGGATGAGCTTGGGGGGAAATAACATCTCACACAGGCGAGAAACAATGGAAGGGAAGGGAAATCCCTCACAGGTATTGAGGTGACTGCGTTTCTTGGTTCTTATGGAACAACTCCATCTGTTAGTTACTAATTCACAACTGGAACCAGTGTGGGGAAGTGGTCAGTGTGTCAGACTAGGGCCTGGACCAGTCCCTGCCTACCTTAGGGGCTGTTGTGGGGATTAAACGAGTAGAGGGGAAGTACCATGAGCTCTTATAAATGAAAAAAAGTCTGTCTCGTGGCAATTGCATTGTTACCAAGGGCCACTAGAGGGAGCCGATGCTCCTCCAATACAATAACTCGATAGTAACTTGTGGCTAAAAAGGTAAAGGTACCCCTGCCCGTATGGGCCAGTCTTGACAGACTCTAGGGTTGTGCGCCCATCTCACTCAAGAGGCCGGGGGCCAGCGCTGTCCGGAGACACTTCCGGGTCACGTGGCCAGCGTGACATTGCTGCTCTGGCGAGCCAGAGCCGCACACGGAAACGCCGTTTACCTTCCCGCTAGTAAGCGGTCCCTATTTATCTACTTGCACCCGGGGGTGCTTTCGAACTGCTAGGTTGGCAGGCGCTGGGACCGAACAACGGGAGCGCACCCCGCTGCGGGGATTCGAACCGGCTAGATTGACTTAATTCAGAAACATAGAATTGAGGAGTTGATAGGGACACTGAGGGTCATCTAGTCCAACCCCCTCAATGCAGAAATCTCAACTAAAGCATCCATGACAGGTGGATATAAAACCGCTGCTTAAAAACCTGCAATGAAGGAGAGCCCACCGCCTTCCAATGTGGTCTGTTCCACTGTCAACAGCTCTTATTATCTTCCGCTAGACCAGTGGTTCCCAACCTTTTGGCCATGCCCCACCTAAGCATCTCTAAAATCCTGATTCGACCCCCCCCCCCGTGACATATAATTCTTATTATTCAAAAAGTGAAGCCCTATTCACGTGGAGAAAGCCTAAAAGGCTATTAACGATTAATAACTCATTTTTGAATTGCCCCTCTTAAAAATCAAATTGGGAACCATGTCCCTAGACCCTCCATTTTTATTTTTTGCTTTTGTTAGATAAGGAAACAAGGAAACTATTGATGTTTGTGTCAGCAAGCTTTTGGGTCAGGCCTCCTTGCAGAACGCTGTACTGCCATGCTGTGTATGCATTCCTAGCCACAGACACCAACAGCATTAGTACAAGTTGAGGCCAGTGGTTGTGCAACTCAGTCACCACAATTGACCACTGGCCGCATACAAGCCACTAAAACTTTTGAACAGGACATAACCAAAGGCATTTTTCACTGTCTTTGAGCAAAGTTTCGGTAAAAAGCAAGTGGCAATTACTTACATACTTATTTTTACATTTATATACCACTTTTTTCTTCCAAGTATCTCAAGGTGGTGTGACATGGTTCTCCTCCTCCCTGTTTCATCCTCACAACCACCCTGTGAGGTAGGTTAGGCTAAGAGATGGTGGCTAGCCTAGTGAGCTTCCCGGCTGAGTGGGGATCCAAACTCTGGTCTCCCAGGTCATAGGTCCAACACTCTAACCATTACACCATACTGGCTCCATACAGGAATGGAATCCAGAATTTGGCCTGCCTTCGACTTCTTGCGCGTGCAAATGAGTTTGACACACCAAGGAGACTTTTCCCCACTACCACACTTCTCTGTCTTCAAGAAATAAATAAATCCAGGAGGCATTTAACGGATTAGCAGCACAACATTATGAAAAGAGATTTATGAAAGGGCAAAGTCACGTTACAACCATCTGCCTAGGCTGACTTGCCTGATAGCTAGTGGCTACTCCAAGGTGCTGGGATGTGCAGGCCTCACTGACAGCAGAGTGTGTTTCAGATGCTAATATTGTGTGCTTATTGAGGAAAGCCAGGAGGGGAGGGAGCCACCTGAATTTGGGCAATAAATAAGACGACGTAAATTTTGCCGCTGGCTAGCAAGAAGCAGCCTTGGGAAAGCTACAAAGGTAACCTATTGTTTTAAAGAGCTTCAAAAGTGTAGCGCTATCTATCTGCCGCCGCCACCCTGGCCTGCTTGTGAATTTGTAAACAAACCCCATAAAAAGCCTGTTAAGTCCTCAGACCTCTTGCCGTGCATGAGAACCAACTCTGTGGAAGACTGCCCTTGAAACGTCCTGCCACTCTGAGGAAGTGGGAAGCACAAAAATGGTATACGAGAAGCATGTAGTTTTTGCAGCCAAAGCGGAATAAATACTGTCTCCTAAGTGGCCACCCTATGCTTAGGGGAACTGCCTGCACATAAGCTGAGGAGCGTTTTAGTCATACTTGCATATTCAACCAGAAACCCAAGGAAGCAGAATAGGAATATCATTCCTCTCACCACATTGAAAAAAAGACTCTCCTATTGTGTAATTGCAGGTCAAACTAGTCCCCTAGTCTGAAAGGTTTGGCCAAACATTCTTTAAGAGTAAGCTGTGGTTTTGATTTGAGGCAAACTATGGAGTATTGACAAAGCACATCTAACTGGGAGTCTCAGCTGATGGGACGGGGCAGCTGGCAGAAAAGTCATAACATGCTTGGCAAAATGGCTCCTCTCCCCTCAGGAATGGTGGCAAACCACAACCTCCACCAATGGAGAGTGTTCTAGTCACCGCCCATCATTCCCTCAGAAAGAGCGCACTGCAAGCGGGCATCTCAATTCCGCCTCCTCATCGCAACAATTTGGTTTTTGGCCGAGTGGAATGGTGGCAAGCTGAGTTCGGACTCTCCCTTCCAAGAGAAGGAGCAAAAGTTCACTTTTTGTTGCCTGAGGAGGAGCTCTGGCGCGATATCATGATCTGATAGATGGTCTCCCGGAAGTGCTGGTCCTGAGTCAGCCTCTTGGCCGCTTGCTTCAGGTCTTCTATGCTCTCAGCCTCCGAATACATGAACGACTGGGACTGCCGCACTGAAAATGAAAACAGCACACAACACTTAGTGCCGGGAGAGAGCCACACCAGGCGAGGAATGGGGTTGTTGAATCTGGAAGCTATTATGATCAAGTTCGACCTAGGTGGTGTTTAGCAGAAATGACTGAGGGCTCGTCCACACAACTGCTCGTCCTGCCACTTTCCCCGGGGTAAACCTGCTGTTTACTGCTGAATCAGAACAAACATCAATCGGTTTTTCTGAAGACTGGCAAATTTGTTCCAATTCATTTGTAAGCAGTGGGTTTTCATGGGACACACGAAAAACTGCTCAGACACATGCCTAGGAAGCCCAAGACAAGCAGAAAGCCTCTTGGACTGATGCTTTCTAGGCAAGGGACAAGCGGAAGTGTGGCCTTGAGACCTCATTGTATGCATATAATTCAGTGCAAAGGCCAAAGAAGAAAGGCCAACTCACTCAGCCACAGGGGCTCACAGGCCCATCAGAGCCAGAGCGTGATGTGTACGTCACAGAGCATGCAAGGGAAAGGGGTGTCAGAGCTGGTCTTAGCAAACTGCACCCAAGTGTGGCAAGGCAGGGTTCCTGCAAAACCTGCACTTGGCACCCCACAACGCAATCCCACAGGCCATAGGAGAATATGGGGAATAGCACCTACAGTCAAGCCAGGAGTTGCTGGATCTCCTGCGATGGAAACGGCAGCTTTTTATCCTGCGAGTGGCCGCCTTGTGGAGGTACACAGAGTTCTTCATGATCACGGGCATCTTGGCTTCCAATTCAGCGTTTCGGATGCACTCTTCAAAGAATTCTGCAGGGAAGAGACACCCAAGGGAGCCAGTTAAGATGTGCCTTAGGCAGCCTCAGTTCAGGCAGATGTAGCATTTTGGAAAATCTCCTTGAGGAGATTCAGTTCCGGCTGACGAGGATCAACAGTAGGCTTCTGCTTTCAGTTGTTCATCTGGATTTTTGGGGTGATGGCAGCGGACGTGTTGGGGAAGGCAAGATAAATTATGGCTCGCTTACTTTTCAGATTGCTGACGTCGGCTTTCATTTTTTCCTCCTTCTCTTTGTTACGGTGCTTGCAGTTCAGGCCTTGCTCCAGGCTCTGCAGGGCCTCCTCAGCCTCCTGTAAACGCTTCTCCAGGTCCATGCGAACCTTCACCTCTGCCTGAGCAGGAAGGAAATCAGGCAGCCCTCAACCAACCAATAAAAATAACCCAGGGAAAGAAACAAAACACCAAAAGACAAAACGTAAGCAAGGACTTCCTTCCTTCCTTCCTTCCTTCCTTCCTTCCTTCCTTCCTTCCTTTTGCGCTCTCTCTCTCTCTCTCTCTCTCTTTCCTTGTCTTCTTCTAAGGCACATTCGGGAACTTGTATGCTGTGACCTAATTCAGGCATAATTTATTTAATTATGGTATGGATTGTATTACAGTGGTACCTCGAGTTAAGTACTTAATTTGTTCCGGAGGTCCATTCTTAACCTGAAACTGTTCTTAACCTGAAGCACCACTTTAGCTAATGGGGCCTCCTGCTTAAGTTCTTAACCCGAGGTAATATTTCTGGGTTAGCAGAGTCTGTAACCTGAAATGTATGTAACCTGAAGAGTATGTAACCCGAGGTACCACTGTATATAAGTTGTTCATCTACGGTATCTATTTAAAAGATGTTTTTGGGTCATGCCAGTCAACATTCTGTGTGAAAGTACTGGGAGGAACACAATTGTGTGAGACCTTTGAGGAAAGAGGAGTGTCCCTCATAACGTTTGGTGCCTTGGGGTGGGTTACTTGGCTCCCAATGTATACCTTTCCTTTATAATGCTATTATTGTGAAGTTCATGCGTTATGTGTGTAGGAATAGGCCATATAACTTTTTGAACAAGGAATATACCTTCAGCTGTTGGCAAGAGAGAGCGAAAGATAATGAAATTGTTTGCTGAGCCTAAAGCAGAGGCCAAATTGGTGTACAACTCTATGCTATCAGTAGGGATGGGTGAATCAGTCAATTTCAGATTATCTCAGTTTCTCATTTTCCCAATCTTAAGTTCAGTTATGCAGATTTCCACATTAGCTTGTGATATATATATATTCAAAAAGTCCTCATGAACATTTATCAGCATTTAAGTACAAATTTCTGCCAATATAAAGGTTTGTATACAATTTTGTCCAATATAGGCATATTTGCAAAGCAATTCCCCCAAATATAATGCATTTTTAATGTTATTTTCACTAATATATGCATTTTACTTTGGCTCAATATATGCATTTTTACTTGGGATTGCAACATTCAGGGAAGTGTAGCTTCTCTGAAAGGCTCACAGGATGGCTGTGTTCCAGTTCTCGTATGGTTTGGGAAAGGGCAAATTAGGTAGAGTCCCCTTTAATTGCAAGCTGAATCAGATTGAACTGAATCCCCAGCTATCAGTACCTTGAGATCTCGCTCGGTTTGCTGCTTCTCAGCGGTCAGCTCCGAGAGCGAATTCTGCAAGGCCTGTGACTGGGAAGAGTAGAACTCCCTCTCTTCCTCTAGAGCTCGGGAGCGTTCTTCATTCTCCTTCATCCTGCAAAGCAGCACCAGAGACACATTCAGCCGTTGTCCCCATTCCTCTGCCTCTTTTGTGTTTCTAGAGTTGCCAGGTTGCAACCCACAGACTGACTCTATACCTTCAAATCCTTCCACGCGCCAGAAGTGGCTCCTCTTTGGCCCATTCCCTCCTCTGCCCCTATTTTCCCACTCCCTCTCCTGCCCGTGGGATGACACAAGATGGCGGGAGCCACAGAGTCAAGGGAGGAATGGATACAAAAAGCCACAGATGCCAAGCCGCCCTCTTCTTTCAACCATCAATCAGGTTGCGAACAGGGAATCCTGCCTGTTTGGAAGACTCTCCTTCCCCCCCCACCTCACCTTTTCTCAGCCAGGAGTTTCTCCTCCAGCAGCTGGTGCATTTTCTCCTCGATCTGGTGCAAGCTGCTCTGCAGACCCCCGGCAGCATCAGATTGCTCACAGCTAGGGCTGGTTGGGGGCTGCAACTCGCTCTGGTTCTCTTCCAGCATTTCCAGAGTCCGTTGCTTTTCCAGGGAGAGCGCCTTCAAGCCACACAAACAGGTTGGATCGGTTACCCCTTACAATAATTCAAACTAACTTTCTGTTCACATAGGGGGCTCGTCCACACTTCCTCTTTCCCGGCCACTCTACCCTGGGGAAACCTGCTCTTTACCGCTGAATCGGGGCAAACATCAATTGGGTTTTCCATGGATTGACATTTTCTCTGATTCAGCAGGAAAGAGCAGGTTTTCCTGGGGAAAGTGGCAGGGCATATGGAAAACCACTTGGACCTGTGTCTAAAAAGCACGGGGCAAGCAGAGAACCTCTTGCTTGCTAGGAATGGGACAAGCCAAGTGTGGATGAGCCTTTAGTTGCAGTATGATAAGCAGAGTCGCTACATTTCCCTTGATAGCAGTCCTGTGCCTTTAAACACACCCTTGTTAAATAGAAACTTGGCAGCTTGACCCTTTCTCATCACTGCATCTCAGTAACAGAAGAACCTTGACCAGCATAATTTCTATCTTCAGCATTTCAGCATTTAGGCAGGCAACCCTTGAGATTACACGGGAAATGTATCATGTGAACAAAGAAAACCCATAATTCTGAGAGTGACTTTCCAAGACAATTATACCAGGAGGAAATCTCTTTGTGGTTTTTAAAAATGAAGACGGCATCAAAATTCATATGCATTTTCACGCACATTTCTCTTAAAAAGGTAAAGGTACCCCTGCCCGTATGGGCCAGTCTTGACAGACTCTAGGGTTGTGCGCCCATCTCACTTAAGAGACACTTCCGGGTCACATGGCCAGCGTGACAAAGCTGCATCTGGCGAGCCAGCGCAGCACACGGAAACGCCGTTTACCTTCCCGCTAGTAAGCGGTCCCTATTTATCTACTTGCACCCGGGGGTGCTTTCAAACTGCTAGGTTGGCAGGCACTGGGACCGAGCAACGGGAGCGCACCCCACCGCAGGGATTCGAACCGCCGACCTTTCGATCGGCAAGCCCTAGGCACTGAGGCTTTTATCCACAGCGCCACCCGCGTCCCCACATTTCTCTTAAAATAATGCAATTTTGCCACACTCTGGGATGCCTTTTGTGATTGGTAAGCAGCATTCCAAAATTTAGAGAAGTGCCACATTTCAAGGAATGAAATGTTCAAAGAGTTTTGGTTCATGTATTGGTTCAGGAAATGAAAACTGGGTATTAACATGTGAGTCACAAAATGTATTGCAAAAAGCCCAGGAGTCCATTGTACGATCTCCTAAAATACCACTGCCATGAATAAGGGAATTGTGCTATAAGCAAAACATCTTTCCTTGAAGCCTTAAGATTTTAGTTCTTGCTGTTTAGATTAAAAACTCATTCTGAAATGATTTCCATGGAAAACAGTTGCTAGATCTTAAAGGCTGCCATGTGGAGAGAGGTGGAAAGTAAGACACCTACTTCCAGGGTCTTCTGCAATGTCTCTGTCAGGTTTCGAAGTCCTTTCTTTTCCTCCTCCACTCCTTTGAGGGACTGGGCAGTCATCTCCAGCTCCCTGGAAAACAACCAGTTGGAGGAAGAAATTTTGATTCGTGTAGCCTTCGCCAACCTAGTGCCCTCCAAATGTTTGGGACTACAACTCCCATCAACCTTGGTCAGCGCAGATGGTTGGGGGGGGGGTCTGGGCAGGTGGGCCTGGCTTTGCAGAAACAGCCTTACAAGTTGCACGTTCACCATGACAGCACTAAGGTAACTATTCCTGGAGTTTGGTAAATATTTTGCAGCTGTGTGCCAAAAGACAGCGTCTGGTAAAAATGCTGCTTGAAAGAATAGCAAAATTTAAGGCTTATTAACTTCAGATTAGGAAAGTCATTCTGAGCACAAGAAAAACCTGAAGGCCATATCCAAAAGAGGAGCCCAAATTGCCAAAGGAGGAGCATACATGTATTGATATTATATAGAGGTCAATGTATAAGTACTAGGCCAGTGGGGGACACAAGGATAATTAAAAAGCAATGGGATGTGCCTGGAAATAAGGGCTTTCAGTGAGGGCTTACTAAGGTGGCCATTCCCTCAAGATAATCACCCCTAGCTGCCAATGAAAGGACCCACTTTTTCACCAGGCCGCTTCAGAGTTCAGGTACTATTACCGTTTAATCTGCTCTTGCTCCACTCGCAGATCTTGCACCACTTCCTCAAACTGCTGCTTCTCTGCCTCCAGTACTTGGTTGAGGTGCTCCAAAGCCTTAAAAGAGAAGAGGAGGAGGTACATGGAAAGCCCAAAAGGCTGCAAAGTTCCTTATCTCGTACTTGTGTCAGGTGCTCACATGTGGAAAACTCTTCCATGTAGAAGACAACACAAACCTTGCACAGGTATCATCACACAGTGTTTGCTGTATGCAAACACACAGAAGGAGGTAGTAGCAAATCACACTTTCACCGTGGCCTGGTTCTCAATGAATCTAAGCCATCTAAGTTTGTGAAACTGAACTATGACTAGACCTGCTCTGGTTAGCTAACTATGGTTTGTTTGTAGCCAACAAACCAGAACATGAAAGCATGGTTTAAAGATGGCTTACAAATTTAGGGGTGAGTTAACTTTAGTTTCTCTTTGTGTCTGAACCCCGGCATGTTCTGGTTCCCCACCCCAGATAACTGCTAGGCTACAGAGGTGCAAGGCCAGAGCATTTTGAAAACAAAACCAGCATTGGGTGAAATAAAGCAACAGTTCCTTTGCCTGTGTGCAAGATTTAATCCAGTTTATTTAACAAACTATAGTTAAAACAAACTATGACTAAGGGTAAAGCGAGAATGCAGCCAATGTCTGCATATGCAGTAACAAATGCACAATACAAGTCCGTATGTTCAGTAGGGACAACCATATTATGATTTCCAATATAGAAGTGCTCTCCACAGAGAATTTTAGGAAAGGAGGGCAAACCTGTGGCTTTCCAGCTGCTGCCTGTCTCTCTCAGCCCCAAACAGCATGCCCAATGGTCAGGGAGGGATGACTGGGAGCTGTAGTCCAGAAATAGCTGAAGGACCACAGGCTCCCCACCCCTGCTTTAAAGAGATGCCATCAAGGTTTGTCCAGGATGACCACTTTTTTAAAAATTAAAAAATAGAAGCACTATATGAACAATATTGAGGACCTCTTCTGAAGGCCGGCGGGGGGCAAAAGTCTTTGCTCCCCCCGCCTGCCTTCCCCCCGCCTGCCCCGGGCGATCTTAAAATGCTGGCGGGCGGGAGCGAAGCGTTCGCTGCCGACCCCCAGCATTTTAAAATCTCCCCGTGTCCCGGGAAGGTTTTAAAATGCTGGGGGTCGGGCTGCTGGGGGTCGGGACACGGGGAGATTTTAAAATGCTGGGGGTCGGCAGCGCTTCGCTCCCGACCCCAGCATTTTAAAACGCTGTTCCGAAGGGGGGGGCGGGAACACCTGCCCCAGCTGCCCCACTTCGGAACGCTGTTCCGAAGCGGGGAGGGGGGCGGGAACACCTGCCCCAGCCGCCCCACTTCGGAACGCTGTTCCGAAGCGGGGAGGGGGGCGGGAAGACCTGCCCCAGCCGCCCCACTTCGGAACGCTGTTCCGAAGCGGGGCGGGGGGCGGGAACACCTTCTGAAGGCGGGCAGGGGGCGAAAGTCTTTGTCCCCCCTGCCTGCCTTCCCAGGGGCTTTTAAATCGCCCCGGACAGCGGAGAAGTCCTCCGCTGTCCGGGGCGATTTTAAAATGCCGCCCGCCAGCATTTTAAGATCGGCCCCTGCTTGGGGGAGATGCCGGCAAGCCTTGCGCGCAAGGCTTGGGGCGGCAGCCTGCATCCCGAAGCAGGGGGTGAGCTGCGGAGCCCGCCCCCTGCTTGGGGGAGATGTCAGCAAGCCTTGCGCGCAAGGCTTGGGGCGGCAGCCTGCATCCCGAAGCAGGGGGTGAGCTGCGGAGCCCGCCCCCTGCTTGGGGGAGATGCCGGCAAGCCTTGCGCGCAAGGCTTGGGGCGGCAGCCTGCATCCCGAAGCAGGGGGTGAGCTGCGGAGCCCGCCCCCTGCCTGGGGGAGATGTTGGCAAGCCTTGCGTGCAAGGCTTGGGGCGGCAGCCTGCATCCCGAAGCAGGGGGTGAGCTGCGGAGCCCGCCCCCTGCTTGGGGGAGATGTCAGATTGTATTTTTCTGCCTATTCATTTATTAATTGATTTAAAAAAAACCAAAACCATTTGTGATGTGCAAACTGATCTGGGGGAAAATTATTGATGCAATGATGAGGCATGGTGTGAAAAGCAGCTAGTGCTTCAAAACCTGCAGAACTATTCCTCCCCCCCCTAAATATTCTATAGAATGAAGTTGGTGTGCTTCCAGGAAGCCTTTAAAAGTGTTGCATCTGCCTTCACCCTAAGAAGAGATCATGATACTGTACAATCACTGGACCCCAAGCTGCCCCATAATTTTATTATCACAGATTTTCCTAAAACCCCAGAGGCCCTTCACTCTAAACCTCTGGAGGGGGGGGGAGCAAAAAATGCAACTTTTTTCTATTGCATTAAATGGAAGTCTTGCTCTTACACATGTTGTCAATAAACAAAGTCAGAAAGTTAAAAGGAGAATAAACCTCTCTCTGCTCCCTCTGTAGACACAGCTCTTCCGTCTCTTCCATCAGTTTATCTGCAAACAGACAGGGAAAAGTGAATGGAAGCAGATTGCTTAAGGCAGTTGGGCAGAAATTGCATGGACCTTGAAACACAGCACAGCGAGAACCTCGCTTCTTGCATATTGTGCTGTGATTATTTGAATTTACTATGATGAGATTGCTTTCGTGTGTTCTCGTCTCCCACCAGTCTCCTGCCAAATGAATTATAAATGACAACAACAACTTCTTCAGCCTTTAGTGCCTTCCTTCCAAGGGGGTCATTGTCTACTAATGTATCTAGATTTACAACTCCTCTCATCAAGTAGGATGGCATCACTGCCTTAACGGATGGTTAAAAAGAGTACACACTGAACAAGGTCAGCAGCAAAGCAGTGAAAAAGGCTCACTCCTAGTCCTTAAGGGGCTTTGGACTGTGTTCATACATTTGGGGGAGGAAGCAAGCACTGTGAAACAACAGCACAGTGTTCCCAGCTCCCATGCAAATGTTTCAGGGTGGGATTTGCATGAGAACAAGTGGGTGGGAGGTGCTTAAATTTCCCATTGCCTGATTCCAGTCTATTAATTCGCCATTCAGAAAGCCCAGCCCCTTACCCCAACTGGCCTCAGCAATCCAAACCCAAGATTTGCCAGGATGAAACACAGTTTGGGATAGATGGTTGAGCTGGCTGAGCCTGGGCTATACCAGTCCCCCATCCTCCGTCAGCTAAAGACAGGCATCCCCAAACTCGGCCCTCCAGATGTTTTGGGACTACAACTCCCATCATCCCTAGCTAACGGGACCAGTGGTCAGGGATGATGGGAGTTGTAGTCCCAAAAAACATCTGGAGGGCCATGTTTGGGGATGCCTGGCCAAAGATATGCTGGTATAAGTCCCGCATCCGGGCTCAGTCAGGGTTCAGCCCAAGCCGACTAAGTCAAAGCTAGAGTGAATCCCTAAAGAAGAGGCCTTCTGGGAGAGGGGAAGGAAGTTTTTAATATTCTGTTGGAAACTGCCCAGGGTAGCTGAGGCAACCCAGTCAGATGGCAGATGGGTGGGGTATGAGTTGTTGTCATTATTATTATTATTATTATTATTATTATATTACCACCGCCCCATTCCAAACTCCAGTCACTCAGACATATGTGACCTTGCAACCCAGAAGTTACACTGCCAAAAAAAGATGGTGTAAGTCAAACTGCCCCACGTCTGTCAGTAGTAGCTCCACTCCCAAACAGAGTTTGGGCTAGAGATTAGTTACATTTGCATAATTTACCCTGCATAAATTATGCTGTCTTCCTATAGTCTGGAATGCTCTGTCTCTGTGCTTCCACATGGGAGGGTCACTGCAAAGGCCTTACCTACTTGATCTCAATGGGAAGGTGTCAGGCTGTGACAGGAGCGGGAAATGTTCTCCTGAAAATGCCCCCCCCCCCACATTAATTTGGAAGCTTCCATCACAACATCAAACGAATATCTTTGAACCTAGGAACGGTCTGCGCTCCCAAGGCACTCATTAACTCTGCTTTATTTTTGTCTGCTGTAATAGCTTAGTAGAACATGCTGCTTAATTGAGGTCACTGGTGATGAGGTCTTGAAGGTACACAGGCAGAACTGTTAACCATCATTACAGAAAGAAGGTAGGCACCTGGGATGCTGCATATGGGGGAGGGGGAGGTCATTACACCTGTCACACACACACCCCAACAACATGTTATAAAGCACACTGTACACTGATGCCGCTCTATAAATGATACAATGCATTAATCATATACTGATTTGTGCTGCTGATACGCTATTCCTCCCTGAGGACTAGCTGCTGTTAGTTCCAACCTAAATACTCCTGTTTCTCCTTGGCCAGCTGGAGTCCCTGGGCTTCGAGGCTCTCAATCATGGCTTCTCCCAGCTGAGCATTTCTCCAGGTCCTGAAGAAAAGAACAAATGAAAGGATGGAAATAGCTCCTTTTAAAGAACAGCCTGCTGTCAAGTTTGCACTCTCCCCTCTCCCTGTGGCTGTGAAAGCAGAAGAGCCTCTTCACAAACACTGAACAGAGAGGGAGGGAGGGAGATGGCCTGTGAAAAAATGGCGAGAGTGGGCAGCCTGTTCCCCAAGTACATTAACCTGAACAGATAGGCTACCAGTTGGAGATAATGAAAACAAATCACCAACACGACCATGGATCAGGAAACTCATTTCTCTCCAGAGAACAAAATGGCAATAAAAGCGTGGGGCCGAAGTAATTCATCAAGTCCTTTTAACCATCTCTTTCAACTTCCTAGGCTTTCTGCGGCTCTCGTAGCTCCAAAACTCTCCCCTTGTGTCCCACAAATCACAACCCTCCCAATTTCCCTCCACAGGCAGATTCTACATCCTGAAAGGCTGGAAATGTGAACCCCAAAGCCAGGATGTGGGCCAGGACCACACCCAGATTTCAGAGCAACAGATGGATCCAGAGCTCAGGATCAATGAATAATTTGAATTAACTGCTGGGGAAGCCTGAGTGCTCTGTTGCTGTTGGCTGAACCTTCCAGGCCTCTCGGTTGGTGCTCAGGACGCTCTGCAGACGACACCCTTTCTCCCAAGGCCGCACCATCACTGCCCCTGATTTGCACCAGCTTCTGAGTGCTTCTGCTCGGCCGGAATGTGTCTTTGAACTGTGACGGTGCTTCTTGCTTATCCAGATGGGTGCAGGGTTACCTGTGTGCATGGACGTGCATGTAGAAATCAGTGGTGTTTGTGTGGCTCCAATCTACTTTACAAGAGGTTTTGACCTATAAAGCCTTAAACGGCTCAGGACTGCAAGACCTCAAGGACCACCTCTTTCCATATGAACCTTCCTGGACCCTGAGATCATCTTTTGAGGCCCTTCTTCATGTGCCTCCTCCTCGAGAGGTCCGGAGGGTGCAACACGAGAAAGGGCCTTCTCTGCAGTGGCTCCCCTTCTGTGGAATGCTCTCCCCAGGGAAGTTTGCCTGACGCCTTCATTATACACCTTTAAGCGCCAGGCAAAACCGTTCCTTTTCAACCAGGCCTTTAGTTGATCCAATTTACATCCTATGCCCTTTTAAAATGTGGTTTTTTTGTGTGGTGGAGTATTGGGTTGCTGTTTTTATTTTTATTAGGTATTTGTGGTTTTAAATCTTGATTTTATATCTTGATTTTATTCTGTGAACCACCCTGAGACCCCTGGATACAGGGCAGGCTATAAATTCAAATAACAACAACAATAAAATTAACACCTGTTGCTTGACTAGATCCCCCCCCCCCGGCATGTGCCCCCCACCCAAAGGTTGCCCAACAGGGAATGCAGCCCCCAATGCTGGAAGCATTCCCTGAACTAGATGAATGCCGTCCCTCCCTATATCTGAGGCCCCTGGACTGAGATTGCCACGCAGAGAGCAAAATGGACGTGACTGCTCTGCTACGGATGGCCAGTTTGCTTACTTCTGTCCCGCCGAAGCCCACGTTTTTCAAAATGCTCCTTGACCTTCACAGCCACGGGCTCTCTGCTTCTCTCCTAACAAAGCAACTGCATGACTGGTGGAGCAATTCCTCAGAGCTATTTTAAACTCCTCTGGGCAGCAAAGGTGCTCTTCGGTGATTTTGCTTCTGCAGCAAGGATTACGCAAGCAGCAATCTAGATTGTTACAGTGGTACCTCGGGTTACATAGGCTTCAGGTTACAGACTCTGCTAACCCAGAAATAGTACCTCAGGTTAAGAACTTTGCTTCAGGATGAGAACAGAAATTGTGCTCTGGCGGTGCGGCAGCAGCAGGAGGCCCCATTAGCTAAAGTGGTGCTTCAGGTTAAGAACTGTTTCAGGTTAAGAACGGACCTCCGGAACGAATTAAGTACTTAACCTGAGGTACCACTGTACTTGTGACTGAGCTGGGCTGTAGGCCTAGAGTTCTGGAGGGTGTGTTGCCCTGCAGACATTCGCTTGGTTATCAGCTGAAGGCTGGAAGCCAGGCTGCTTGATGGCATACTTAATAGTTTGTAAATTTAAGGGTGAGGCAAGTCCCATAAAGAGGGGAAGAGGAAACAAATGTTGGGGTCTGAGAAAGTTCTGTAGCAGTTCATGAAGCAAGACAAGGGAGGACTGGAGCATAAGGTAAGCTGACATAGGGAGGTTAGGGGACATTGACATAATAAGCAAGACCCGGTCTGATATGACTCCAGGTTTTTTTTTAAGGCCTGCCAGACAGTTAACAAACTATACTGTGAACCAATAAGAGGCTGGAAGCTTCCACAGCCTAATTAGGTGCTGCTGACTCTCTTACCTCATTCATTTGCACATGCAAGGAGTGAGTCAGCCGTTTAAAAGTGCATCAGAGGAAATCCAATAATGTCCAGGGGTGAGTGGGGCAGACATTCATTCATACAACAGTGAACTGCAGTCCCATGTGCACCCCCAAAATCGGCTGTGGGGGGCTGGGGGATCCTGCAAAGCAGTGTGTCTGCAGGACAGACGAGAGGAATAGGATGTCGTGCAAGTCCACTTATGAGATTTTCCAGCCGCCCATTGTTTATTATCTCTGGGATAATGGGTCCCAGGTCAATATGGAGCAGCTGGAAACTCACGCTTGCAGCTACTGGCAGAACAACCCGGTGCATGTTCACTCACAAGCCAGTTTTCTGTTTCAGTCACACCCGCCAAGAAGATTGCTTAGGACTGCTGCATAGATGGCCAATGCTATGTCTGATGCATAAGTGCCTTTTATGAAAAGTTATTATGTGCTTCATCCTGCTATTGCACTTGTGTGTGACCTTGCTTCCCCAGTATGAGTACACACACAAAACCTAGAATAAACCCTGGTGGGTGAAAAGGGTTTTTTTTTTAATTGTTCCCTGTAAGCTTCAATGAAATAAAATCTTTCTAGCTGGATATAAACTGCTGGTATGGAGCAAACAGCAAAACTTAAGCAGCTTAGCTGACGATTATAGGGCTCTAAAAGTTCCCCATCTGTTTTGGGAGTGCCTCCCACTGTAGCCCTTGCCTTGCTTACTTCTCGGAGATGGAAAGAGCTTCCCCTTTCATTATGTGAAACACAGCATGAAGGTCAGGAGGACAAGCGCTTGCAGTCCAGTTCCATGCTCAGTGTGGGGTCCCTAAGCCCACTGAAACAATATAAAACACACCTAAATCAACATAGGATTGCAAGTGTGCAGCTCAGTCCTTCTTATGTTTATGCACTGGACTCACTGGAAGTACATCTGAGTGTGCAAAGGTTTGCAGCCTTAGTAAAAAAAACACATGCTTGCTGAATATTACAGGTGTGCAAAAGCAGGGTAAGAATTTTGGAGTAACAGACTTCTTTGTAGAACTTTGGGGAGCTGCATGAATGCTGATGAGAAGAACATAATGAGATTCATCTTCTTGAAATGCATCTATGGTCCTAGTTGCCTGCATCTAGATTAGGAGGGAAGGGACCTCATCTCCTGGCCACAGAACCACAATAGTAAGTGCCATTATAAACCCTCCTGGACACGGTAACCTAAGTACAGAGGCCACTTTGTAAAGTTCCCTAGTCTTAAATGTATTATGGTTCTGCTTGTCAGAACAATGTGCCTACTAGGAAGTTATGAAATCTGGGACTTGATGATGCAGTGGTACCTGGAGAAAGCAGCTTTCATTCTCAGAGTCAAAGCCACAATCCAGAGAGAGTTAAGTACCTTTAAATGCCATTGATTTCACTGGGAGAATTAGGAATGTGTGTCTAAATTCTTAACTCTGGCTGGATATACAGTGATACCTCAGGTTAAGTACTTAATTCGTTCTGGAGGTCCGTTCTTAACCTGAAACTGTTCTTAACCTGAAGCACCACTTTAGCTAATGGGGCCTCCTGCTGCTGCCGTGGCACCGTAGCACAATTTCTGTTCTTATCCTGAAGCAAAGTTCTTAACCTGAAGCACTATTTCTGGGTTAGAGGAGTCTGTAACCTTAAGCGTATGTAACCCAAGGTACCACTGAACCCACAATTCCCATTCCCCTTTCCAGGGCTGTTATTCCCTGCCTACCCCTCAGAGAATCCCTCCACTTCAGTTGCCATACCCAACTTCCACTTGATCCCAGCCCCAAATCTCCCCACTAAATTGTAGTTTAGCGTGATGAGAACAAACTGCTGCAAGCTCCATCAGTCTTGCATGTTCTTCCCTCCCCTCCTCTGGTGGAGTTGCAAGGAGTTTGGGAGCTTTTGGTTCTCTTTTTTCCGTAACCACACCGGTTAACACTGAGTATGGTTTGTTTGAAACAAAGCAACTTCAAACTATAGTTTCAGGAGATGGCTTGTTTAAACAAACTGCAGCTAATGTTAACCCCGGCTGAGAGGTTGAACAAAATGCTGAATTCTGGTTAAAGTAAAACTGAAGAAAGGCATCAAAATTTCTGCTTGTGGCTGGGCTGAGAAGAGGGGCAGGCAAGCTCTTAGCTCCTCATTCTCATCACAGATTTCTGACCGTGGCCATATTCTTGCCATTATCTCCGTTACCCTCCGTTACTACAAATTATATATTTTGGGACACAGCCCCCAAAGAGCAGCAGATAGTATTAATACTAACAATTAGAGTATTAATGAAACCAGAGCTTAGGTAAATAGTAGCTTTAAAGTAAGCGCAAGCCTAGCAGAGCAGCTCCTCAGATACTCACACTTTCCCGGACTCCTGTAGCATTTCCAGCCACTGGGCTTGTTCGTATTCTGATTCTGCTGCCAGGACAATGGTACCCTTAAAAGAGAAACACAGCGGCTATGAAGAGAGAAGCGGTATGAAAATATCAGGGCTGTTGCATGGGCCCATCGATCTGATTTGGGGCCTAACCCTGTGTTTCAGAGGGGTCCTGATCCAACCCTGGATGATCTGGGGCCACCCCATCCTGATTGTGGACCTTGCCCAGTCATGCAATTAAGCATGTGGTCAGCAGGGGAAGAAAGGAAGGTCACACACCACACACACACACACACACACACACCTGGCTGCACCCACTTTTGACTGGATGAAAAGTGGGTGGAATGGACCTAATCTGCCTCAGGGTGATTTGGGGCTGCCTCAGTGTGATCTGGCCCAAATCCCAGGTCCACCTGAACCTCTTTTCTTGTGTATGATGAGTGTCCAGGGAGTATATCTGTACTAGACACATCAGTTTTATGCTAATTGAACAGGGGAAGAAGGGCTGTCGCTCAGTTGTAGAGCATCAGATTTGCATGCAGAAAATCCCAAATTCAAACATCAGCATCTCCAGGTACAGACCCTCCAAATGTCCCTATTTTCCAGGGATGTCCCTGATTTAGAGAAGCTGCCCGGTTCCTGATTTAATCCCGGAATGTCCCACTTTTTTTAGAATGTCCTTATTTTCATTGGAGAAATGTTGGAGGGTATGGAGTTATCCAACCCCGAATCCATCTGAAGGCAATCGTGTAAAGGGAATGGTTGTTTTTTAAATAATAATAATAACAATAATAATTTATTATTTGTACCCCGCCCATCTGGCTGGGTTTCCCCAGCCACTCTGGGCGGCTTCCATAGAAACCAAAAAACACTAAAATATCACACATTAAAACTTCCCTGAACAGGGTTGCCTTAAGATGTCTTCTGAATGTCAGGTAGTTGTTTATCGCTTTGACATCTGGTGGGAGGGCGTTCCACAGGGCAGGCGCCACTACCGAGAAGGCCCTCTGCCTGGTTCCCTGTAGCTTTGCTTCTCGCAATGAGGGAACCGCCAGAAGGCCCTCGGCGCTGGACCTCAGCGTCCGGGCAGAACGATGGGGTGGAGACATTTAATGTTTAGTGTTTTGTTATGTTATTATATATGTTGGAAGCTGCCCAGAGTGGCTGGGGCAGCCCAGTAAGAAGCGTGGGTTGTATTTCTCCGACGTATTTTCATCGGAGAAATGTTGGTGGTAAAGCTGGGAAAAGACCCCCCTCTGAAACCCTGGAGTTTCTCCGCTGCCAGTCGTTGTAGGTAAAGCTGACCTAGATGGTCTGACTAGGTATAAGGCATGTTCCTAAGTAACCTGCATTGTTTTCTCAGTCTTGGGAATTGTAGTTAGATCAGGGATACCCAGTCACCCTCACAAACTATTCTCAGAGGTCCCTGGAGAGAGAGAATAACTATTAATCCCAGGGATCACCACTGTGGAGTCTGTGGGTGCACATGTGCCCACAGAGGCCTTCCCTGGCGTCCACAGGGTTCCCTCCCCTCCTAGAATAAGGCTTGAAAGCAGTGCTCTGTTCATAGAACCACAGAATTGTAGAGCTGGAAGGGAGAATCATCTAGACCAACCCCCAGCAAAACAGGAATATTTTGCTCAACTACGTTGCAGTCAGTATAGCAGGTTGTGGTGTTTACAACAGTTTCTCCAATTTGAATAGGTGGCCACAAGCCCAGAAAGGCTGGTAACCCCTGGTTTAACCAGTTTAATTGTCTAGTAATAGCCTTACTTCTAACACTGCAACGCCTTATGTCAAAAGCTGCAGTTACAGAAAACAAAACTGGGAGGTCATTCCATTCCCCATAAGAAACATGCAGCGTGGCTTTATAGTGGGGAAGGGCTGTAGTTCAGTGGTAGAGCATCCTCATGCAGAAGGTCTCAGGTTCAGTCCCCAATATCTCTGGGCCCTGTCTGAAATCTCAGAGTGTCACTGCCAATCAGTGCAGGCAATACTGAGCTAGATAGACTAATGATCTGACTCGGGATAAGGCAGCTTCCTGCATGCGGCAGTTTCAATCACATTCATTTCTCATCTGTCAGCACACTCAGCTTATTCCTTAATTGGTGGCTTGCAACAGCTTGAAAAAATACTGTAAACTGAGGAGGAAAAAGAAATTGTCTTTACGTGGAAGTCCTCATGGGAGATTTTCATTGCATAAGGCATGTTTGGCTCTTCTTTAGCTTCAACGATGCAGCCACCCAGAGGTATGACACCCTGCGGAGACACACCAAAAATTTAGACTAGTTCGTGTCTAAATTGCAGCATGATACAGCTTAAAATGGGACGCAGGTGGCACTGTGGGTTAAACCACAGAGCCTAGGACTTGCTGATCAGAAGGTTGGCAGTTCGAATCCCCACGATAGGGTGAGCTCCCATTCCTCGGTCCCTGCTTCTGCCAACCTAGCAGTTCGAAAGCATGTCAAAGTGCAAGGAGATAAATAGGTACCGCTCCGGCGGGAAAGTAAACGGTGTTTCCGTGCGCTGCTCTGGTTTGCCAGAAGCCGCTTAGTCATGCTGGCCACATGACCTGGAAGCTGTACGCTGGCTCCCTCGGCCAATAAAGCGAGATGAGCGCCGCAACCCCAGAGTCGGTCATGACTGGACCTAATGGTCAGGGGTCCCTTTACCTTTACAGCTTAAAATGAGTTAGGGTCAATGGGTATCTATCATAGTGGTTTCTAGCTCATCCTTTGGTGAGATTAGAGAAAAACCAGAAAGTCCCCCATTTAGATCTCCCTCAGCCATGGACAACATCACTCTTTTTCAGCTGCAGCCCCCCCTGCAGTAGCAGCCATAATAATATGGATCTATCTTAGACTGTTATATATTTAAAGCACATTCTTTCCCTCAAAGAATTTTGGGCAATGTAGTTTACCACACAGAGGATTAGAATTCCTAGCAACCCTTAAAAAACTACAGTGCCCAGAATTCTTTGAGAGAAAATGTGCATTAACTTTTCTTTAAAGGTGCCTTATGAGAAACTGTACATGAACTATAGAATGTACATGTATTAATTTACAAAGCCCTGAACAACTAAGGTCCAGAGTACCTGTGGGTCCACTTGAATCCTCATATCCCAGCTTAATCATTGAGATCTCCCATAGTGCCACCAGTTGACCCCTGAGTTAGGCAACACTCAAGTGCCCACAGTGGAAATGATTGGATACCCATTCATTCATATTTAAAAGTGTATATTTAAATATACACATTCGTGTTTTTAATGCCCAGTTAGCACACCTAGGTTCTTCCAGGGATATCTTCTATGAAGAAGATACACAAGAGTCTAGCTCCAGGTGTCTATGAGGAGCGCATTTGCAGATGCTGCTTACTTTAGGGTGGATATTAAAGTAGCGATTGTTTTCAAAGTTCTTCTTTTCATTCTCAGCATAGTAAAGCAGAAAACTCTCCTTGATGATAAAGAACCTGAAAAGAAAGGAAGACAGAAATATTACATTCTATAAAAACACTTAACTCCCCAATAATTTCATATGGATGACAATACTGCAGGTGGACTGTATCATGATTCTGTGGAAAGTGCTAACATTACCAAACCTTGTGTTTGACCTGCAGATCTCTCTAGCAATGGGCACCACGCTCTCTCCTTCCAATGACATGTGCTGATCGGCTAGTATTGTAGCTGCCCTTACAGCTCTGTGCTTCCAACCAATAGGCTGACCTGACACTATCAGACCTGAAAGGTTTAGAATAGAGGTTTTCAAATTTTCTACCCTCAGGACTCACCTGAGATGGCAGAAAATTACTGAGGCCCACTAGTCACAAAATGGTGGCACAGGGGCAGAGCCAGGCATAAAATGGTGGCAGAAAGAAGATGATTTTGGCATAATCAGCCAAAACAATAATTCAAAATAATTTTATCCTTCGTTAGAAATTGCTACATTGTGAGTCACCAAGTTAGAAGATAATTTGAGAAGGCCTTTTATTGCTAGTAGTTCATTTGTATTGTTTTACACACACACACACACACACACACACACACACACACACACACACGTAACTTCATGAAAAACAAGAGATACTACCTGAAAACAGTTACACATTGGGTTATAAAGTGGGGATGGATTTGGCTGAATCACTGAATGTGGTTATTTTCCACCCTTGGATGAGGCAGTGGTGTGCGTGGGCTATTTTTGGAAGGGGTCATCACATGTGCATGAGCATCCAGCCTTCCTCTCCAAGCCGGGCAGAAGCTTCCTGGGCTTTGGGAAATAGGTACCATGGTAACATGTAGGGGACTAGTCCAGTCCCCTTAAGGGTCCACTGACTGCATGCCAGTGGGTGGTGGCTATCTTTGTGGAGGGGTTTTCACCAGCAAACCCAGAGAAGGAGTTAGATTGAAAGAGGTGACTACGAATTCACCCTCTAATGGGATGATGTTCCCTTGCTACTGTAATCCATCCCAGCAGTGAGAGTGTTCTATGAATATTATCTGTGCATTTAAGTTTTAGCTCTGCAGTCTGTAGGGCTTAAGAATCTCAGGAGGCCAAATACTGGAATGATACACTGTTCCCCCATGTTTGCTGTTATATGTGAAATGGGCATGAAAAAACTGAATATAGAACCCACTGACATTGTCTAGGGATTTGAAGCCTAAAGTGAAATGTAATTATCCAGGCTGGAGATTTGTTTTGAATGTTCTCAAAGTGACAAAAGGAGCTTGAGAGGTTTGCAGCTCCCAATACTTCTTTAGATGATAGGTTTGCCCTTAATTGCTAATACATTTCAGAGCAAATCCAATTCTCAGCCTTGGCAAAGGAAAGGCACTTTCTGTCTAAGCAGAATAAGGGCCTCTTCATTCATCATCACCAGAAGCTGCTGCTTAGATAGGTATTTTCTCCATTTCCTCAGTAAATCACTCCAGAAGCACTTCCGTCAACAATGGCATGGCTAAATGCAAATCTTTGCATCCCCATCTCAAATGCAAATGTTAGTCTAGGGACTCTCTAATATTTAGTTTAGTTATATTCATTCATTCATTCATTCATTCATTTCTATACCACTCTTCATCCAAAGATCACAGGGCAGTTTACAATATAAAAACACAAAAATACATAACATGATACCAAACAATAATAATAACCACACACACAGTTTCAAAGGCCATACATTGTTTAATAAAACAAAGACCTGGGAGAAGAAAAATGTTTTTTGCCTGGCGCCTAGAGATATGTAATGACTCCCACTTTTCATCCAGGAAACTCAAGGTCACCCTCTCCATATTACCCTCACAACAAATTGGTGAGGTAAAAAAGGTAAAAAGGTAAAGGACCCCTGGACAGTCAAGTCCAGTCAAAAGTGACTATGGGGTGCGGTGCTCATCTCACTTTCAGGCCGAGGGAACCAGTGTTTGTCCACAGACAGCTTTCCAGGTCATGTGGCCAGCAGGACTAAACCGCTGCTGGTGCAACGGAACACCGTGACGGAAACCAGAGCACACGGAGATACCTTCCCACGACAGCAGTACCTACCGGTATTTATCTACTTGCACTGGTGTGCTTCCGAACTGCTAGGTTGGCAGGAGGTGGGACAGAGCAACCTTCTGATTGGCAAGCCCAAGAGGCTCAGTGGTTTAGATCACAGCGCTAAGGGCCAAGCAGGGATTCGAACCCTGGTGTCACGGGTCCTAGTCTGACACCATGGCCACTGCACCAATATCTATTATTGTCAACTTCATTAGGAACCAGTTGCCTTTTTCTTGTTATTGTCAATATTTGAACCCACTTAGGACATGTGGTGATGGTGGAGGAGGAGGGAGAATCATTTTTACTTCCATTCTGTCAAGTGAGCAAAGTTGCTTCATTTGTGGCCACACTCTGGGCTTTCTAGCGTTAAAGATTTCTTAGCATTTGGTCTTCCAGAAGACCTTGTTTTCTTAGCGAAGAACTGAAGGCTGGAGGTGGATGGTGGCTTTTCCATGAGTGAAAGCGGGCATGGTAAAGGATCGCTGCCCATGCTGTGCAGACTTGTTTATTTTAGTGCACTAGAAGAACCTGACAAGTCTGTTCGACTGTGACCGTGATGGGACACCTCCACCGCCACTAGAATGCACATCTCAAGAAATTATGGTCTTCAGCATTTCACTTTTACTCCCTGAAAAATATAAACTCTTCATTTTTAAAAGGTATAATAAAATGGATTCCAGGAAGTTTAAAGACAATACTAGAGAAGACTTAAGAGCTGAAATCAGGTGTGGTCATTCAAAGGGCATTTGTGTGGAATTGCTTTCCCATTCTAGTCTTCCATCCTGCTTGAGCCCACCCTCCTAAATTAGACAGGGGAGGTATCCATAAAAGTACAGCCACATTTATCCTTACACTTTATGCCAATACAGTGGTACCTCGGGTTACAGACGCTTCAGGTTACATATGCTTCAGGTTACAGACTCCGCTAAGCCAGAAATAGTACCTCGGGATAAGTACTTTGCTTCAGGATGAGAACAGAAATCGCGCGGCGGCAGCGGGAGGCCCCATTAGCTAAAGTGATACCTCAGGTTAAGAACAGTTGCAGGTTAAGAACGGACCTCCAGAATGAATTAAGTTCTTAACCTGAGGTACCACTGTACTTATCCTTATCCCAATGCCAATTGCCTGACATCAGGTGCAGGACAGCAAAAAGCACCTCACAGCACCAATACTGGAACTAAGCCCTCTTTGAGAGGAAAAATCAGCTGAGGGAATCTCTATTCTCTGAACTTAAGTTTTTGTGGAGGTTAGCCCTACAGCTGGAGATAAGTGTTGTCTCTGCTGCCTTTTAGAGGATTCAGTACAGAAGATATTCAGAAATTGATGAAGCGTCCTTTTTTAAAAAAACAACAACAAAAATAGACAAAAACTGTTCATGGTAGGGGAGTATAGTACTCACATTAATGATGTCAAAATAAATCTTAGGGTTCAGGTGACAATTGTATAAGCTCCCACTGTCACAGTGTTGCTAATTCTAGCCAGAGGACATAATGTTCAGTAGTGTTTATTATGTTGATTGCCCAAAGGTGGAAGGCTCCACACTCCTGCTTTAGGGAGCGCATAACCCCTTCAGAACAGGGTGAACTCCACACACTTGGACAGGTGAGCCAGTTACTAACGCTATCTCCAGCTTTTCTGGATTCTCAGGTGTGTGTTTTTTTACTGTCCATTATCACATCCAGGCACTGATTCTGCCTCATGTATTCTTTCCAGAGAACTACCTTCACAAACTGCTGACTCACACACACCTGGCATGACTGAGACTGCTTATATGAAAAAAAGAAAAAGAGCCAGATTTTGGGATCAACTCCACAAAAGCTTGTTTTCCACCCATAAATGTTTTGTTCCTAATACACACAGTCAATGAGATTAGTTAGGTAATATTCATAAGCGCGTTTTGAAAACATAAAAGGGCTATGTTAAGTATTCCCCGCAGATTATAACATCATTGTTGGGTTTTGGAGCCCACAATGCTTTTTTTGGAATAGCTCCAGGAACTAAGTATAGCAACTAATTGATGTTGGGGTGATCTTTCCTCCTCTGGGGATATTCCAGTAAAAGTGGAACATGGCAGCCTCCAGGGCGGTTCAGTTTTGAAACTGCTCAGTCGGATGCATGTGCTGCCTGGAAGGCTAAGACAGGCTTCCCCAACCGGCTACCCTCCAGATGTGCTGGACTACAACTCCCATCAATCGAAGCCAGGATGATTTCCAAAGCCATTTAAATAGGTCAGGCAACAGACATTTGGTGTGGAGGAGAAGATAGGGTTTGTGCTGTGTCCCTATTTGTTAATTGCAGTTTTCTGTCTGACCATCCTGAATTGTTAACTAAAGTTTGTTCAGATATTTCCCCTGATTAATCATGACTGTTATATGGTTTTGTTTTGGTTTTTTTTAAAATATTTTTTATTGCTTTTTTCCAGGGTCAAATACATCATCAATAACTCAACAAAAGCGGTTTTACAGAATAGAAAGAAAAAGATAGAAGAAAGAAAATTCACATTTTCAAACATTTTTCATGATCCACTGGACTTCCCCACATCCCCATCGCCCTGCATTCTTTGTAGAAAATAAAATTACAGCAAATTAATACCTTGTTTCATGCGTTTTTGTACTTTCATCTGATTATATTTTAGATTTAGAGTACTTATTATTGGCTAACTTCTTTCCATCCTCCATCCCCAATAATAGGAACATTGCTCTAAATTTTGAACTTTTCACGGTCATAACTTAATTTCCCCCATTTTCAAATCTCCATACTGAAGCATGTTCTTCCAATAACTTAGCAAATTCTCAACATTCATGTAACTTATAATGTTTTTGTAGATAGTCCTTAAATTTTTTCCAGTCCTCTTCCACTGCCTCTTCTCCCAGGTCCCGGATTCTGCCAGTCATTTCGGCCAATTCCATGTAGTCCATCAGTTGCGTATGCCACTCTTCCAGCGTGGGTAGCTCCTGTGCCTTCCAGTATTTAGCTATAAGGATTCTTGCTGCAGTGGTTGCATACAGAAAAAAAGTTCTATCCTTCTTTAACACTCTCTGGCCCACAATGCCCAGGAGGAAGGCTTCTGGTTTCTTGTGAAAGGTATACTTAAATACCTTTTTCAACTCATTATAAATCATTTCCCAAAAAGCCTTCACCTTCGGGCATGTCCACCAGAGGTGAAAGAATGTTCCTTCAGCTTCCTTGCATTTCCAACATTTATTATCAGACAAATGATATATCTTTGCAAGTTTGACTGGGGTCATGTACCACCTGTATATCATTTTCATAATGTTTTTATGGTTTTGGAACCTTAGTATAGTGCAGTGCTTCTCGAAGTGCGGGTCACAGATGGGTCCAAAAATGTTCCTGGGCAGGTGACGGTCAAACAATGAGGAGCTTTTTAAAAACTTGCTTCCTCCTCCTCCTCCTCCTCCTTCTTCTTCTTTTCATTCTATACTGCTTTATATTTTTAAGAAATATAAACCTACATCAAATAAAACAATCCCAAATAAAACATTACTGAAGAAAGTCAAATATAAAGTACAGTATACGTTCAAAGCAACAGGAAACTAAAAGGTTATCTTAAAGATTTCAAAATAAAACTTTAGAAAGGAGGTCAACTACAGAATGCACATTTAAGGCAGCAAAGTTAACAAACAACACCATTATTCTCATGAGGCTTCTAAATGACAGAGTTATTCCCTATATGTATGTATCATGGTTAAGTTCTATTCAAATACATACTGCTATTAGGAATGGGCAGGGACGCGGGTGGCGCTGTGGGTAAAACCTCAGTGCCTAGGACTTGCTGATCGTAAGGTTGGCGGTTCGAATCCCTGCGGCGGGGTGAGCTCCTGTTGTTCGGTCCCAGCTCCTGCCCACCTAGCAGTTCGAAAGCACCCCTAAGTGCAAGTAGATAAATAGGTACCGCTTTATAGTGGGAAGGTAAACGGCGTTTCCGTGTGCGGCACTGGTGCTTGGCTCGCCAGTTGCAGCTTCGTCACACTGGCCACGTGACCCGGCCTCTTGAGCGAGATGAGCACGCAACCCTAGAGTCGGTCAGGGGTACCTTTACCTTTATTAGGAATGGGCAGTACAGTTGTGCCAAAAAATTCACCAGCATTTCTTGTGACCATTCTTCATCAATAAATGGGACAGCAAATACCACCCACTGGATCAGACCGAAAGCCTATCTAAGTGGGCATTCTGTTCTGGTCTTTATCTCTAAACTGTGCTTGGAACACACAGCATTGCAAACAAAGGATGCCTTCAAAGGAGAAGGCCTCTTCTCTGGTGGTCCTGTTGAAATAGAGGATGCATGTAGATGATCCTGGGTAGATTCTTCTTCAGTGCCAACTTCTCTTGCCATTAAAGCCTTAATTCAGGGTGGTGGTAGGGACTTATAAGGAAAGTACAACAGAGGAGGGTGGGGTCACACATGCACCAGAGAGACCAGCTATGTTAGCAGAAAGAGTCCCTTGCGCTCCCTTGGATTAACCTAACCTGTCCTTCCTTTGCACCAGCTGCACTATGGGCAGAAGACAGCTTCCCTGCCTTGCCAGGAGGTGGTCCAGTATTGTGGCTGCTGAGTATTGGGTTGGGATACGAAACACTCAGCTTAATTTCTCTGATTAGGTCTGAAGCTCATCTTAGTGGCCCTGGACACTGTTGGGCAGTGGAACAGACTCCCTTGAGAGGTTGTGGGCTCTCTTTCACTGGAGGTTTTTAAGCAGAGGTTGGATGGCCATCTGTCATGGATGCTTTTGTTGTAATTCCTGTACTGCAGAGGGTTGGGTTGGAGTGTAGATGACCCTCGGGGTCCCTTCCAACTCTAAAAGTCTATGAGTCTGTGACAAATGATGATGACTCAGGGCTGGAGCAGTCGTGTGATGCTGGAGATACGTCCAAAAGCAGCTACAGGGTTAGATCAAAACAGTGAAAAGGGCTGCTGACCAAACTAGGGGTGGGGTGGGATGCTGTATGTCAGAAAGGAACTCTGGGAAAGGATTTAGAATGGGAGAAATCTGTTGCTCAGCATCTTCAGGTAGGAGTCAGGGAAACCCCTGCCTGAAAGTCCGGAGAGCTATTGCCAGTCAGAGTAGGCAATGTTAGGTAGATGAACAAGACAGGTTCCTGTGGTTGTTCCTTCATTACAGGAGGAAGTTACTCCCTCCCCCCCAAAAAAAATCCCAAATTTGGAGCACAAAAAATCTCATTCCTGACATCTTAAGATAGATCTAGGAAAGACCCTTGTATTTCTGGGAAAGACCTACAAGTTCCCCATGCCTGTCCTACAACTAGCACCCCCTGATTCTTGCAACTTAGATGCATATACGTATTTGAGTAACGCTACCTGCTAAAAGTGACCACTTCCAGCAATAAAACTGCTGAATTAATAATTACGCTCTGAGGCCGGAGTTGCATGTAAGCAATTTAGTTCGGAGGAAATGAGCATCGGAGAAAACTTTCTGCCAACTGTGACGGAATCTTTTGCCCTTCAGCATTCTCTCTCACAGGGGATAAACCACCAGTCCTTGGCTCCTTTCAGAAACACCATGACTCTGGAATTTTAAATAGGACTTGCTTGTAAACACAAAGCACCTTGGCTGTCATTTTCTTCTCGTAACAGATTAACAAAACTTGTGTCATGCTGAACTTATGAAACAAAAGGAAAGATGACAGGAAGGGAGGGAAAGTCGCTGAGAGTAGTCTTTTCCTCATGAAGGTACTTTACTGCAGATGGTGACACAATTTCTTAAATTATGTATGAGTATTTGTAGTCAAATCCCTTATCCAGATTTATCCATCAGGTAGAAGCAGGACCGGTTCCACATGACTCATAATATATCACTTGGTCCCCACAGCACTCCTACTCCCCATTTACTCAGGAGCAAGTTCCATCTGGGCCTAAGATGGGGGTCCACAATATTACTAGGTCCAGGGGCACATTTGGTATCCTAAGAAATTGTCATGGGCGTCTCAAAACACTCATTTCACAGAACCAGTGATGCTCAGATCCCATCCAAAATGGGCAAAACACCTACACAACCCCCTCCACTTTTTGTAGATATTCAGGTGTCTTTTTTTGTAAAGGAAATGTGTCTGCATTATGGGGACGTTACACATTCTCGGCTCAAACCACAACCTTCCCCAGCTAGCGTGGCAATTGTGAGAGCAAATGCAACATGGCTGAAAGTCACAGACCCCTATTGGATAGTACCTGCAACATCACTCACAACACAACTCCTCCCTGCCATGCTTGCCCCATGTCTTGCCTTCAGGTCATGCAACCAGTTACCCAGAAAAGAATTCTGGGATTCAGTTCACACATCATTCAGCCAAAAGGGAGGAAAGCCGCTACTTCAGTTCCTGGCACAACATCTGTGTTTGTTCCCCCAAAATCCCCACTGAAGGCAACACTAAAAAACACCTGGTCCCCCAAACCCAAGTGTTCTGTGAACTTCAAAAGGCCACACGTATTCTTTCTTAAAGCTAGCCCAATGCTAGCTCCAATTTTCTTTCCCTGGGGCACAGAGGGCAGCAGAGAGAGACACCATGCCAGTCTCCAAGGAGGGCAAATGCCACTACACATACCTGCTAGCCTACAGATGCTGTGAAGCTGCAGATGATCTCTTACAACACTGTGTCAAACACAACCTTAGCATACTTGAACCCATCTGCTTGGTCATGGGACGGTTTTTCATGCCTGGCTTGAGTGTCCCTTGGAGACTTCCCACGATTTTCTGGCTCTCCCCCCCCAGCACAAACTCTATTGTCATCCCCTGCCCCTGCCCCATCTCCCCAGAGAGCCTTTTCATTGCGACGGCAGCTCTTTCCAAACACTTACCTCCTGGACCACTTGGCTGAGGGTCTCCCAAAGGGTCTCTTCCAGAGCACTCCATACAGCTGCACTTTGGTGCTGATATCCAAGGCATCCGAATCGGCAGGTTCCATCGATGGCGAAGGAGACACCGTGTTGGATTTTGAAGTGAACATTGTCGAGGGAGGGAGATGGATTTTTGAGCTGATTCTCTGCCTCTGCTCTGCAGCTCAGGGAATCCGATTAAATGCAATGAACCAGAAGGACGTAACCAGCCGCCCCGGTGGGAGAAACACACAGACACACACACACAGACACCAGAGAGGCTGAGGCTGTGCTTTGAATCAATATCTGGACTGCTCAGTGCTCAGTCAATACCTGTCTCCCTGATGCAATGATGATGAGAGCTTCCTGGTGCCATGTGCCCGCTTCCCGATGTGCCGGAGAGATGGAGTGAGTCAACATTCCAGACCAGCCTGAAAACAAGCGAGGCAGAATGAACGCTCCAAACATTGCACAGCAGGCCGAACTCTGAATGTGCATGAGACGGTGGCAAAATGCCCACTGCAGCAGAGGCCGGCACACATTAATACTTAGCATGCATCTGCTTCTGTCCTGAAGTCAGGGTGAGTGTATTTATTCTGTCCTGAAGACAGGGTGAGTGTATTTATTTCTCACTATGTATACAAAGGTATACGCAATAAGCCAGGCTTGCTTCTGTGCCTCTGTAGTGCCTGTTCAATCTTTTAACTGCATAAGCAGACTATTAGTTTATTTTTTTTAAAAAAAAACCCATTAACCCTCTAGTTCTCTTAACTGCAGAGGAAGAAATGTACCCTATAACAGCTTCCCAGAACTTTCCATCATTCAGAAAGAGGGGGAAACAGGAAAGAATATGCATTCCGCTTTGGCAGTTGTGTGGTGATGAGAGATTGATTATATGAGGAATGGTAAAGATTGTCCGGAGCTGTTGAAAGGGTATAAAAGCCTCATGTTCCCCTAGTGCTGTTTTTGACTTCGTTCAGGCTAGCATCAAGATTCCTTCACTAAACATGCCATTGATGAATTGTGTGAACCAAATAGCCGAAAGTCATTTATGCTCCCCTTTAGCAATCCCAGGAAATCATGTAACCATCATCGTTCAGAGACAGGGGCGGGGGAAGGCAAGTTATTATATCTTGTTCACATCCAAGTATCTGATTCTAGAAACTACATCAGCCTTGCCATTCACGTTGTTGCTTTGCTGGCTTAATTGAGGGCCAGCTCTGAGCTTGCCTTCCCTCACACACCCCAGGGTATGATTTCAGACACTGGCAGGCATCAGGGGTAGGGAACCTCAGGCTGTGTGCTGAATGTGGCCCTCCAGGCCTCTCCATCTGGCCCCCAGGACTCTCTCAGGTCACACCCCTCATTAGCCCTGCTCCGCACCCCTTCAAATGTCTTTGCCTGTCTGGAATTTGCCCTTGAACCTTGATCATCTTGCTTGCTGGCCTGGATTGAGCGTGGATGAAGAGAGGGAGGGAGGTGTGTGTGTGTGTGTGTGTGTGTGTGCGCGCGCGCGCACTGTGTGTGTGTGTGTGTAAAGAAACCAGGGCTGTGGGAGAAATTCAATTCAGTTTGCAATTAAAGCTGATTTGATCAAATCCACGCTCCTCGCCCCCAAAGGAAAACCAAAGCATAGCTAAAATTTGCACTTTGCCAAATTTTGTGATGCAGTAGTGAACATGTATGTGTGAACCAGGTCTGCTGTTCTGAACACAAAACCACTTCAGCCTCCTGTAAGACAATGGAAAAGTAGCCATACTATAGGTTTGTGGGTGGTTGTCTTTTTGGGGAGAGAACAGAGCCCTGAGGTACTCCACAAGTGTGTGATCAGGGGTCCCAAACACTCACCCCCAACACAACTTTCTGGACATGGCCCAGGAGGAAGGAGCGGATCCACTGTATGACAGTGCCCCCAGCTCCCAGTTCCTCTAGACGGTCCAGAAGGATGTCATAGTCAATGGCATCAAAGGCCACTGAGAGATCCAGCAGAACTAGGAAGCTGTTTTCACCTCTGTCCCTAGCCTGCCAGAGATCGTCAACAAGCACGATCAATACGGTTTCAGTTCCATGATGGGGCCTGAATCCTGACTGTAAGAGATCCAAATGGTCCACATCCTCAAAACGTGCCTGGAGTTGTTCAGCAACGACCTGCTCAATCACCTTGCCCAAGAATGGAAGATTTGAGACTAGGCAATAATTGGCCATAATGGCCGGGTCCAAAGATGTGCAAAACCTTGATACACTTAGCCTGTGGAGGATAAACTGGCCTGAAAAATCTGTACTATTTTATCGCTTGGTTATTTTCTTTTTAATCCTCAAACATGCAACCCACCCACATTGTGAGCTGTACTGTAGCTACAGACTTATGCATCCGAATCAATCCCCAGGAGCTCAGGTCTTCCAAGTGGGCGAGAATAAAGCACTACTCAGCTGGTCCTACTTGGGTAATAGCAACTCTGATGACTCTTGCTCTGCCCACAGCCCTGTTAAATTTTAAGAGCCTGAAATGAAAGAGGCGGGGGAACAGCAGAGCTACATTCAAAAGCCAGGAAGGTTATTCAACAAAAAAGCCATAAAAGTCAGAACCCTGCAGGTGGCCAGCCTTGCCACACTTGCTAACCAGCTCGAAGGTTAATGTGTAGCCTTCCCTCGGGTTATAACTGGAAGGCCTGACTCAAGCCTTCCGGGCAGAACCAAAGTTATTACAATTAATGTGGCATATCCTTGCCCACCATGGAACAAAAAACCATGCTGTTAAACATGGGCAGAACAAGATTAGGCATTGTGCCAAGTACGCTGTACCATCATACTTGGGTCCATCCATTATGGAGCATAATTAAAAATACATTAGGCTCAGCTTAGCTTAGAGAGACACCACTCTTTCTACTGGACCCATTTGGATCTCTAAGATACGTCCAGTATGGGAAACGGATTTGTTTTTGTTTGCATCACAAAGAGAAATGACCCAATTTGCATTATTCAGACCAATATATGAACTGAAACACATATATTCTTTGAAACATGCCCTCCTCCGATACATTTACTAATGGAAAGTGTGAATATAAATGTGTTTATTAGTGAAAATGCTAGTCAAAAATGCATATTGGGGGGAATCACTTGCAAAAATTGGTTTATTCACCGAAACTGCATGCAAAAATTTGCTTATCAGGAACTTTACACTAAAACTCCATTCTCAGGAGTTGTTTTTTTAAAAAAAGAAAACCACAGATTGCTGTGGAAATGCGTAGAACTGGAATTCAAGATTGGGAAAACTGAGAGAAACTGAAATTGATTCATGCATCCCTTGCCGATTAATTTTCAGTGGATTTTTTAATCTACACTGCTTAAAGACATGAATAAAGTGGTATAGAAATATCATAAGTAAATAAATACAATGTATTACCAGTATGAAAGGGCATGAATACAGACCCTTAGCGGCTCCTCTTTGCCCCCCTCCCCAAACCTGCTAAAGTCTCAGGGCTCCCTCCAGATGACCCGTTGGTTGAACAAGCATCCTGAGTTGCCTGCACAAAGCCTATGTGGTTAGGTTACCTCTGCTCTTTATTGAGAAGTTACCCTGATTTGCTTCTCAGATGTGCGCCCCAGACTTTTAAATGCATTTCCCTTTCACTTTCCCAACTTCAAAAAGTCTCTTTCTTTCTAAAAGCAGATTTGTTGCACAAGGGGAAAAGAAAACCTAAAGTTCTGGCAGGAGTTTGAATGCCTTGTGACGGCCTGGAGGCATCCCAAGTCAGAACACATTTTGGAAGTGGTGCTAAAATTTATGTTTTTGCTGGCTGGTGGGGCAAATTCACAGCATTTTAATTCAATAAAATGTATTGTCTTACTGTAGACTGTTTTCTTGTCTGCTTTGTTGCCCACTGGGGCCAGGCTCTCTTTAAAATGTTTCGAAGCTCCAAACATTCCCCCTACAAGGTGAGCAATGGCTCTATTTTCAGTCCTAAAGTAAATATAGCAGTAGTCTACTGAGCATGTGAATAAGGGTAGCTATGCTCTTTAAACTCATCTGTACAGTTGCATGGAGAGATAAGGCCATTTTCAACGTTGCAGTTGGGAAAGGATGAGTTTAAAGGTCTCATGGCAAAGAAATCCCAAGGTCCTGCAATGCACCTTATTAGCTTCTGCAAATGTGACAATGGCAAGACCAAAACCTCCCCCAACCCCTACCTTCTCTTTTCCATGTACTCCACCTTGTGGATGCAGGCAAGGAAGCCAAGTGCGGGGGAGGCTTTTACAACTGTGTTAAGATGCATTACGGTCAGGCAAAATTAAAAGGAAAAACAAAAGGACACATTTTATTTTATCTGATGCCAGGAGAAATTCATTGGCTTTAGGTTTTGACTGGCAACACAAGAACAAAAAAATATTACCTGCTCAATACATTTGGGCTCATTCAAAACCAAAGTTTCTTTCCAGTTTGGTTTTGAGTGGAAAAGTGGCTTGCTCATTTTTCAGTGGCGGCAATGAGAACTCGTGGGGCAACTTCCCTACAAACTGTCCTTGAAATAGTGAGCTGAAGGCACAGCCAGTCCAATGCATTTTGCCACCCGAGGCAGGCCACAAAAACCGACACTTCCCTGCCAGGGAAGAAGGGTTGAGGGAAGAGTTACATCAGGAAGAAGGTGGGGGGGGGGGCGATAAAGATCAGGAACAATGGTGGGAGGAGACCAGCAGTGCCTCCCATTAGCCAAGAGACCACTATAAATGCGACACAGTGTGGGACAGGGGTCAGAAAGGTTTACCTTGCCTGGGCTGGTTCACTCCAGCAGAAATCCCTCCATGGGCCGGATTGTGCGCCCGTGATTTCCAGCGTCTGCACAAATGCAATTTTTGGCATCTGCGCATGCACAGACGCGATTTTGGCGCAAAGAAAGTGAGTCCCCGAGCTGCACTGCGCTGGTTTAGTGCAGCGCATGGGGACTCGCCGAGCAGGTGGCTCGGTTCAGGAGTGGCTCGTGGGCCAATTAAACAGCCCCTGTGGGCTGCTGGCTCATGGGCCTTAGGCTGCCGACCCCTGGTGTGTGAGACAGATCTGGCCTCCAAGGAGCACAGGACAACTCCCATTGCCACTGCAGCAGCAGGCGATGCATTCCTTGGATCTGCTGCTCCTGAGGATCCTGATGCCTGAGGCAGTCCCCACCTTGTCTCATGGGTGGGCTGGCCCTGGCTGAAGGGGCTGCATATAGAGGGGTTTGAAATAAAAGCAAACAATAAGCATTCCTACAACACTACTGCTGTCTAGAACTGTGGCCTCTATTTGCAGTAACCAGCATTACTCTGGGTTAGCATCTGAAGCCAATAGTCACATGAAACTAGGGACAAATAAATCACTGTTACTTTTGCATGCGTTTTCTCTAAAACCCACCCCATCCTCCCATTAATATGCATTTTTTTTAAAAAATAACACAAAAATCACATAATTTTTATACACATTTCTCAACATAATGGGTTGTACTGTTTCTCTTCCAGTTTTTCCCCCTCCCCATTTTATCCTTTCAACAACCTTATGAGGGACACTGGTTAGCCCAAGACTACCTAGGCAGCTTCATGGATGAGTGAGGATTCGAACCCAGGTCTCCCAGATTGTAGTCCAGCACTCTAACCATTACACCGCACCGGCACTCCTCAATTTCTGCTACACATTTTGGCAGTTTCCCAGGGGTTTACAAATGATTGGTCAGTGCAGGTTTGCTATGCAGTATCGCACAAAATTTTAATGTGCCCTACAAATATGTTGCTGCTCAATAAGCTAACATTAAAACCATTTTATGCTAACTGCATCAAATTCAAAAATTATTGCACACATTAGTTAGAAATGGAGATGTATTATTTTAAAATACTGAAATTTCTCATAAAAGAACTTTAAGATATTATTTTTTTTTTAAAAAAATAAAAAACCCTATGAAGATACCTGTTTAGGAATGGTAACAGTGTGGGCCATCCCTATTACTTCTCTAAGCTTATTCTCTCACAATAGACTGCATGGTTCTTCAAAGTCCTTCCAAACAGCTATCAGAATTTAGGAGTTGGGGAAATCACTGTGAGATGGTTCCACTCCCATCTCTAAGGGCAATTTCAGAAAAAAAACAATGTACAACAGGCGATAGCTCGGTTGGCTAAAGCGCGGTAATGCCAAGGTTGCAGGTTAAATCCCCGTAAAGGACAGCTGCATCTTCATGTATTGCATGGGGGTGGACTAGATGATCCTCAGGGTCCCTTCCAACTCTACAATTCTAAGAACCTCAGCCCCATGGGAGTTACCAAACAACCAAAGTCTATGTCCATAGTATGAACATTTAAGACGGGGGTTCCTAACTCTGCTAGCCCAAGAGCCACACTTGGTATTGGCCACCCCTCTGAGAACTGTGCACTAGTGTGTAACATGACCAGAATAAAAGTGCACACACAAATTCCTCCAGATGCCTCTCTTATTGGAAATAGGAAATTCAACAACAAATGGGCTTTAACAGTAACACCCTGGCTATGAAACATCAAAATTGTGATTTTTTTGGGTACCAGGCAAAAATGTTTGCTTATGCATGATTTTCAATTTGTTAGAAGTCCATTTCATAGGTTTCATTGTATTTTTGTTATGAATGAGTGTACCCCGTGAAATCCAAAAAGAGGGGTATAATCTTTTTAAAATAAATAAATAAAGGTTGTTATTCAAGGAGAAAGAAGATCAAACACAAGCGCAACTTGAAATGAAATATGTGGTAGAAAAGCTACACACACATCTGAAGTACGAGAGACTTACTAAACCTCTACAGCAAGACTATTCACATGAAATAAGGCCAACTCCTTTTAGCAATGCAGCTAATAAAAATTTTAATATAATAAAAACAACATTTTTTAAAATGTTCACAAAGTGGGGGAAAAAATCAAAAATAAGGCAGCCATCCATGGAATGATTTCATGTGTACAAATGATTTGGGGGAAAAAACATTAAAATTACACTTTTGTACACAGAATCAGGTATACAGCTGTGCCCACAAAGTCCGAGCTGCTCAGAAACATAGCCAAAGCACAGAAAAGCTGATCTCCTTTTGAAATAGACATTCAATTTTCAAATGTCTCTGTAAGCACACCCCACCCATGTCTCCTGTGGTTCATCATAAAGAGCATAAAACAACAGAACATACACAAGTTCAAGTTTTCCCCATTTGAATACAGATGGCTACAAATGCAAGCTTGCTCTGAGTGTTTTGAGTTGTTGAGCGCTCTGAGCAGCTGAATATTTTTTTTCTGCTGTTTCAAATTATCATTTTCAGTTATCCTGAGAAGTTTCCTTCCACCATTTGGAGATTTGGTGTTCCCTTGATATGTCTGCTCTGCTGTCCTCTTAGCTGTTATAAAACAAGTTTGACTCAGGCAAGAGATCATCCCTGTTTTGTGAATGAAAGCAGGATAACCAATTAAATGACCAAACAATGTTGCACACAGATAGAGCTCATCTTATACTGATTTCCACTTAAACTGATTTCCACTTTCAACTCAGTCCAAAACTGACATGAATAATGGAAGTACATGAATTTGTAAGTAGTTACAAATAGTAAATCCCTTTATCCTCAGCAGTCTATGGCTCCTAGGAGTCTACCGCGAAGCCTAGATTGGAATTTGTATTTTACTACTAAGAACTAAGAGCAGAACTAGACTACAAAGCCCTCATTTCAAGTGAAGATTGAAATAAATCCACATTTACCATGACCAATCTGGAAGATTCTTTAAAGTTACAGATACAAGAGATGAAACATCTGGTTGCTGTTAATAATGTAAATATTCCCCTTTCTTTGCTACCTACTTTTCTTGTGGTAGTTAGCAGATGAAGCAACTAGACCCCCTCATCGCCAGAGTGGAAAATCAGGTTGCTTCTGGCAACATTCTAGCCTCACAAGATCTTGACACACTGCCTCTATGACTTCTCGCTCTTAAATTGATGCACACAGTAAAATTCAATAGTGTGAGAGGTATACAGTATAATTCTAGATCCTGTCCCAAATGCTCTAGACACAGCCCTATAAATCAAGGACAGAAGTCCAATGAAGGCATCCTACCAGTGGCATAATGGGCCAAAAGTTAGTGAACAGGGATGGCAGAACTGGCAGTCCTTGTTTTCATTAATACAAAGTGATCCAATATAGGCAGCTGCCAGCCATTTTCCAAAATGTAATGAGCAGCTAAAGGCAACTCTGGCCAACAGCAGGATTTTCAAGATACCAGCATCACAACACTGACTTTCAAATATTAAATATACTAGGAAAAATTGTTTTAAGTGTGGTTCAATTCCCATTCCTACACCCATTGCTTCTATGTCAGATAGTTTGCCGTTTACCCACAAGTTCCCATTTTTGCGGTTTTCCTCTCTGCCAGCTCAGGAACAGCTTTCTCATCATCTTGCCCACCACAGTAGGCCAAATCGAGCCTTTAATTATACTTGTGCCCAACTTACCTTTGGTCATCAATGATGAAGATGTGACATGCACATCTTGGTTCACATATCAGGTGTCCATACCTTTTCTGTGTTACAAGATTTAAGAGTATTTCTATTTTCAACGTAGAGAAGAGATTCTTCTTCAAAAGAGACTCTTGATCAGTACAAAAGCATTTTTACTTTTTTAAAGCGGGCCTATATAACCTGTGTTGCACAAACCCAGCAGCTGTGGGTTCTCACAGTCCCAGGTAGGCAAAAAGCAACAACAGGTGTTTTATTCAAGCTTCTAGTGGATCCCCTTATGTAGTTGGGTACACTACACCTGGTAGAATGGATTACACTGAGGAGGCCTGCTGAGATCTTTTAAAGTAGATCAATAATAAGCCTTCAGAAAAGACGATACATACAATATTGATTCTGTGTGGATTTTTCACTTAGATTTTTAATGTTAAATGCCCTCATATATTTTTTTTTAAAAAAGATCCCTGGTGAAATCTTGATTTTGACTGTCACTGCTGTACCAATGCCAAACAATACCAGCAAGCAAGAATCACCCATTAAAACAAAACCTTCATGAGGAATCATACCAGTATACTATGCCAAACAACTACAGGATGTGAAGAAGGCATGGAAGAGATCAGAATTGTAAGAGCTACTGGGCTGTGAAAAGATGGGGAAACATTTGTCACGTAGAATAACCAGTGTTACAAAAAACTGCTAATTCATCTTCTTGTTTTGTGTGTGTTTTAAGATAAAATGACCATTAACTGAAGAACAATGGAGGTGAAGGTTTCAAATTGAAGTAAAAATTGTGCACCAAGAATGTACATAAACTTTCAGATATTTTAGGATTCTCCCTATGACTCCTACACTTTCTTTCACAATGAAGTTAAGTTTATAGGCCAAAAGGAAGGATCTTCTCCATGGAAAGGCACTGCATTTCAGAATTGCAGTTACACTCGATGTTGATTGAAATATTTTGGATTGAAATATTTCAGAATCAGATTTCAGAAAGAAAGGGAGGCTCAATTCAGACAGGCTCACAATTTAGAATGTTTCTTGTTTGTAATAACAAGAAATGTTAAGGTCTTTGCTTCTGTATAGGTAAATGCTTTAGGCACCCTTCACTCTTAATGAACAGTGCTTACCTTAGTCTATTTTAGCAGAATAAGCCTTTGTAGATGTGCACAGTGTCCATTTCAATAAGCACATACCCCTCTGCGCTCAGAACCACCTAACTTTCAGCCCAATGTGACTCCTTGATTCTACCATATAGATGATAACACTCAAGGGACACAATAGATGTGCTTCCTAGTAATGCAATATATAAAATCCTATCAAGCTGTTTAACTTGTACAGATCTTTTCTAGGACTTTATCCCGTTGATGTTTCTTCACCAGATGCATCTCCCAAGATAGTTATGCCATCATTATCACATGAAAAATCTTGGAGGTGAAAACTAGTCCCAGATGTCAGAAGGCAGCATCCAATGTCAAGAGGTCAGCTGTGAATGCTGACATATAGAATACTTTTGATTATGCTTTCATGATGAGCCACAAAGTCCTTCCCAAATCATCTGCCATAGAATCTCTAAATTCCAACTTCCCTGAGAATAGGGCAGGAAGTCATAATTAAAACATCTTCAGAAAAGGGAAGTTATGCAGAATTTTATATCCGGCTGTCGAGAGTATCATCTCCTATGCTAACAAGCTTTCCCAGAAATCCTCCTTTGCGTCTCTCTGACTCCTTAAAACAGATGAGGTGGTTAACAGGGTAAGAGAGACAATGATAAAAGGGCAGCTTGACACACCAGATTGCTGCTCACATCAGAGACTGAGGAGAAGATTGCTGCACTTCAGACCTTTAATGCTGGTGTCCAATGGACAGAATCAGAGGAATCAGGCAGCCGAGAACTAATGCTGCCACCTCCAGGCGACTGAGTCCTTTGCCTCCAGTAGAGTCAGGTTTGTGGCTATGTCCCATTCCGCCCACTTCAGGGAGAACGTGAACTGTGGCAACATAAAGAAAAGTTCCAGCAGAGAAAAGCATGGCGACTCCAGTGGCATTGACGTCTGAAAGTGCTTGTTTGCTGCTCTGTAAAAGAAGAGGGTGGCAAGGGAGAGAAAACACAGAGTTGATCTGTCTTTAATAATGCTTGTAACTTATTCCACGGAAGAAGTCAACTCTGAAGAAAGGTTAATGTTGACCTAAAAGGATTTCTGCAATCAAAAAACCAAGCTACCTTTACAGCTATCTTCCCTCATTGCCCCCTAAAGATTATCTTTAATGCACATGCACTAGTCATTGCAAAAACAGAATGCCTACAGATGGTTAACATAATATTGATTATGAAATCATAATTTCCCCCCTGTAAGGGTGGTGGGCCCACTCAGATGGCCTGCACTCAGAGACTGATGGAAACTGATGTGTTCCTGAACGCTCTGGGGGATTTTCCAGTGGAGAAAGCTAACGATTCTTGATCTCGCTATGGAATTGTGCAATGAAACGTGTGGTTGGCACAAACATTCCCATGCGTCCTTTCTAGCGTTGTGGAGCCCAAGCAGCCCTTTGGTATTCTGAGAAGCTCCAGGCTACAGAACAAGTTGGATGAAGACCTGAGCGCAAATGGCTCAAGCCCTGGTGTGAAGTTGATCAAACACGTAATTATGCCTACCATGTGGCAGTGCGAGCTGCAAAAAAAGCTCATTTTGCAGCTTGCATTGCATCCTCTTGTAGTCGGTAGCAGTTATTTTGGACAGTCTGGAAGTTACTGACTCCCTGGTGTGGGAGGGACCTCTTTCAAAGACCTACTGTGACTAACTGGTTACACACTTTGAGGATAATGTTGCTTGACTTTGAAGTGATCTTTATTCTGCACTTGTTGCACTCCACTCAAACACTTCAGTATATGGAACTAGTGCTGTTACAGGTGCCACATACTACCTCTTCTGTATTTAGTGTGGCAGCACATACACTTTGGGAATGACTCCCTGCCTACTGACACCAGGCAGCTGACACCAGCAAATAGCCAAACAATGGTTTTCATTCAAAGCATGTCTGCACAAGGAACCATTAACAAAGTTGGTTCCAGACATGCTCTTCTGTGGGTAAAGGGCTCCTGCCAGTTGCAGAAGGGACTTTAATCCTGTGGAGGTGCCTGCTGGGGGTGGGGGCAGTTAATTTCTACCCAATCATCCTTAAATTACCATTTCCCATACTGTTCTAGACAGTTATCCTGTCATGAATGGCATGCTTTGAATGAGCCACAAGATTGGCTGAAGACCATCACCCAAATTGGATGCTGTTAATGAACTATTTCTGAACTGTGTTGATCAAAGCTGGGATGTTCATGTTCTGGCAAAAAGTACCACACCTGCAAGGAAGCGTGAAAGGCCGACCATGCAATGCTAGTTACAAACAATGAGTATTGTACTGTGCCAGAAGTTACAGACGATCAAGTACAAACAATAAGTATTACAATGTGCCATGAACATGCTAAGGACTGCCAGGAACATTCACTCAGGAATATGAGATTCAGATGCACAACGAGAAGAGCATATAAGATTAGACCGTCTCGGACTAAGCTGTGTGCCGGACTGGGATCCTGAAGTCTGCCACCCATAACTCTTACTAGAACTTCTGGTGAAGAGAGAGTTGAGTGTGTATGCGTGTGTGTGTGTTTGACTGAGTGCATGTTCCCTCATCTTGTTATATGTTATGTTTGTTAATCAATAAAGCAATGTTATAGAATCATTCCAATATGTATTGGTTGTGGCTGCCTCTCTCTCTAGAGCTTCTGAATCTCATTTATGCTAAACATCTAAACAGATAAAAGAACCTAGTTTATTCTTAACCCCCCTCCCCAATCAACTTTTCAGGAGGCAAAAAAGAAAGGCAGAATCAGCAGAAATTGTTTCCACTCTACCTTTCTCCACAAGGGCATCCCCTTCATTCCATATAAGATCCATTATGTTTTTAGTTACTGTGCAGTTTTTAAAAAATACCAGTCATGCAGACATACTGCTATTTTTTCAGCTGTAAGACTAACTGGATGGTAGTGTGTTAAGTGGTTCACAAATAAAAGTGACAAAAGGAGTAGATAGAGCACTTCTGAAGAGTTGATTAAACACTGGTCATGCTCCTCAGCTATTAATCAGTATTCTGGAAAGTTAGACCTGAAATATTTACCTTGCTTAGTCCCAGGTAAGTCACCATTGACAGAACAGGGGCTGCAAGTGCAAAAACCAGCAAGTGCTTCCTGATTCGATTCCGTTCAAGACCAGCGTGCATTAGAAAGGAAACAAGACCAAAAGCAGCTGGTGCCTATAAGAGAAAAAACAGTCAACAAAACTCTTATGTACAAATACAAAAGAAAGTGACACCCCTCTTTCTGCTCATGCGAAATTAAATGTTCAGCTAGCCACACTGTTACTAGCCTGTAGCCACGCTGTGTGTAGCTTTCTCTGCATTTATGGTTATTCTGAGCATGAGGTGTACTACAAGTGGCTCATTTTTACTTATTAGATTTACAAACTACCTTTCAAAAAGCATGCTATTAGCACTTCACAGCTCAAAGGTTTGCATAATCATCAAAATCACATTAAGTAGGCTATAAATGGTCTTTTCCACCTTCATTTTTATATTTATTAAGTTCAAAGCAGCATCAAATCACAAGTTTCTGCTGGAAAATGCACTTCTATTCCTAACTTACTAACAAGGAAGTTTCACTATGTGACCTGGAGTACAGTGGGGAAATTCTCAACTCATAGATTTAGAACCTTTTAGCATGACATCCCTTTTCTGCTTTTTAAAATAAGTTAAAATGACTCTTTCCTCACAGGGAAAGGACTCTGATTTCAACCTTTTATCACTCCTTTCCCGTCCTAGGCTATCAGAAAGATGTCAGATACCACACACTTAAATGCATATATTTACTACTAGGATGCAATATATAATTGTATGCCAACTAAAGAAAATTTAAAAAAATGTGTGGATGTCTTAAGACACACATAGTTTATTGAATCAAAATTTGTACAACCAGAGAGAATTTCTGTTACAATTTCAAATTCCTAACAGCCGTTATACATGGGACTTCCTCTGAAGATGGTTCAGAAATTTCAGCTGATGCAGAATTCAGTGGCAGGTTGCTCTCCGGGACAAGATAGGTTCAGCATATAGTGCCAATCCTGGTCCGATTGCACTAGCTGCCAATTAGTTTCTGGGCCCAATTCAAAGTGCTGGTTTTGAAGTAAAACCTTATATGGCTCAGGACTGCAGTACCTTAAGGACCTTTTCTTGCCATATGATCAGATCTGGACCTTGTGCTCATCATCTGAGGCCTCCTCTATGAGTGGTCCAGAGGGCAGCAAAATGAGAACGGGCCCTTTCTGTGGTGGCTCCGTTGTAGGATGCTCTCCCCAGGGAGGCTTGCCTGGTGTTTTCATTATCTATCTTTAGGCACCAGGCAAAAATAATGAGCCTTTGGCTAATGAGCCAATCTATGGCCTTTTAAACTGTGGCGGGTATTGTTTTTGTTTGTTACTATCTTACACATTTTTCTGTTGTAAACTGCCCTGTGATGCTCAGATGAAAGGTGCTATAGAACTGTAGCAAATTTAACAAGCAAACAAGAAATATGTAAAGGTTTGAGACTCAAAACTTACCTTATGTAACATAATCGCAACAAACACTATTAGCTGGACACTGGTCTGAGATGTGGAAGCAGCCGCACCCAAGGCAACACCATCAGCTTAATGAGGATGGGAAAAAACAAACCACACAAAAGTGAACTCACCCATTGATTGAAGGCTTACTGGGACCAATTTACGCAAGGAACAAGCGAACCAACACACCTCTTATTCCACTCCAGAGACCTGAACCAGAAGCTTCCCCCACCCCTCAGAAAAAAACCTTTAATTAAAAGCAAATGTGATGCTTCTTGCTTATGCACTGAATTGCATGTCCCCATTAGGTACATCTCCTTGAGCTTTATGAAAGTCTTCTCTCTCCCCTCTCTTATCCAATACAAGATAATGTTCAGTTAGCCTGGAGCTGGCTATAGCAAGCATGATACAAAGGATTAATTACTCGTGTCACATTTAGCAAAGCAACCCTAATTCTAACCCAGGTGACCTGACAATATATGATGGTCTTTGGCATTATGCAGAAATGAAAAACAGTAACCTACCTGCAGCATGAACAACTAGTCCCAGTGTGGTAGTAATTTTTGAATTGCCCGACCTTGCTGCTTCTGGGTCTGAAATAATTAAAGAATCTTAAGCAAATAAGATACAAATAAGTAGGAAGAGAACCCTAAAGAAAAATATTACAGGCATTAAGGCACAACTTTTCAACTGAAACCAAACTACAACTTCTTAAAAGGTCACCTGTTTCTTTATTTCAGATTATGTTTAGAATTAAGGGAAGGTGGAATATTCCAAAAAGCTTTGAAAGACATTAAACTTCAGTTTTCCTATTGCCCATTCTATTCTTGCTTTTATGTGATGGGTCTGTTTGCTGCAACTGGCCCTGGATATATATTAATTGCTGCTTGTTGTTTCTAGTATTTTATCTATGGATTTTTAAATCAATTTTCTGTGTTTCATCGGACTGTTTCATATACTTTTTGTTGTCTGTTTAGCATTTCCTGAAAAGTGGGATATAAATTTATTAAAATAAATAAAATACGAGTAGCTGCATTTTCACTGATTGCTATTATTTCCTGAATTAAGACTGCATTTACGCAGTACTTTAAAACTGAGCTGTCATACTGTGTACTTTTTTGTTTATCTGTAAAAATCTGGCTTATTATGAAACATTTTCTTTACATCAGTGAGTGTATAACAAATTGTTTTACTTAAGAGTGAATACCAGAATATTCATTCAGTTACTTGAATATTTCAAGGCCCTCGTCATTTATTCTGGTTATGTGTCCATAAAAGTTAAGACTTACCATCTGTAGCGTGGACATGAGAACTGCCAATCTGATCTACCAGAAGCATAAAGACAAACCCAAGGACCAGGGAAACACCAATATAAGCATGTAACCTTGAATGGTCATGGCTGTGGACATGGTCATGTACTACGGGCACATCTGCTGCTTTTTCTGATTCAACCGTCTTTTGAGTCTCGCTAGCTGGGTGGTGCTTTGCTAGAAGAAACAAAAACAGGACACTCTGGAGTTATAACACAGAAGCCTCAAACGTTACATTCCCAACTTATTTTTAATTGTCAAAGTTGGTAAACAATTTGTTGCCCTACTAGTCCCAAAGCACTCTTTCCTGCTTTTGGAAATAGAGTATTGCAATGATAACCAAATTCTCTATAGCGTATGAGGTAATCAGGATAGCTATGTGGTGTTCTTTATATCCCAGGAAGAGATTATTATATGTCCAGGGAGCCTTTCTCAACCTTGGGTTCCCAGATGTTGTTGGATTACAACTCCCATCTTCCCTAACCACTGGCTCTACTAGCTAGGGATGATGGGAGTTGTAGTCCAACAACATCTGGGGACCCTAGGTTGAAAAAGGCTGCCCCAGGATGTAACACCAACATGGCTCAGTCATCCGCCTCCCCAGCTCTCTGAGCTGCATCACATTTTCCAGATGGAAAGAGTTAGTAAACAGAAAGAGGAGACAGTTAAGGAGATGGGGAATGAGCAACAAAGAGGACAGTGAATATATTCTTATTCACCCTTATTTGCAGGGTGGATGTATCTGTTTCCAAATGATTAACAATTGGAAAGTGAAGCATTCATCTAAGGCAAAGGTACCCTATTAGCGGAATGCCAAAAACTTTATTAGGGTAATTTCTTTATTAGGCCAACTCAAATGTTGCAAAATGGTGTGCAAGGTTTTGAGTTCTCCAGATGGCTTGGGTGGGGTTTGGCGAGGCTGTCTGATGAAAAAACCATCTGTGTCTATATCTGGTAAGAGTCTAAAAATGGGATGTAGAAGGAGGCAGCAGACATTCAAAATACTCTTTTATGTGTAACACAGGCTTTAGGTTGCACCAAGGCACTTTAGGAAGGCAAGACACATAATGCTCAACTCCTCATCTCTGAAAATACAACCACCAGCTGTTACACAGTTCTGTCTCCATCCTTAGACAAAACAGACAGGTTCCTTCGAATAAAGAGAAACTATGCAGTCTTTATGCTAGCAAAGGTAAAGATTTTTAGGTGTATTTAAGATCCTCTTGCTCTGCTTTGGGGTCCTGCTGTTGTACAGCTAAGCTATGGTTTAATGTGAATGAGCAGCATGGTGATGCACACTGCTCAAACATTCTTCACAAATGAAACAAGCCAGATGCTGGCTTGTCCTGTTATCCAAACCCAAACTTATGGTTTGTTCCTCCCCTCTCCACAAAAAATTATAAGCCCAGGTTCAGATGAGACAAGTCAGAATCTGGCTCATTTCATCTTCTGCATGGCAGGAGGGAGCAGCACCAAAAGAATTCTTGAGAAGGGTGCAGCAGCATGATGCTAATTTACATTAAACTATAGTTTGTTTAAAATTATGATTTAAATGAGATGTGCAAAGAAGGCTGGTTCTCTCAGCCTAACACACAATCTTATGGTTGTAAGTTGTTTTAAATTGTTGTTAATATTGTTTCCTGTCCTGGGACCTTAAGGTGAAGGGCAGGTAAAAAAAAAATTTTAGCAGCAGCAGCAATAACAACAACACCACACACTGTGAGGTACAGTCTTCTCAAAGGAAGGGTAGGATTAAAATCTAATAAGCACATAGAACTGTCCGGAACTTTACCTATTTTTCACATTATAATCTTTGAATCCCCATGGTATATCACAAGCTGCTTTTGAAAGCCCCCTCCATTTCAAAAACCAACTGCCATGTGGCATGGGGTGCTGTTAGTCAAGAAAAACAAATCAAAATTCCTCCTTGGGCTCACAGAAGTAAGTTTCAAAGTTTTCCGGATCCTGGTTATGATCTTTAACCTATTTTGGACCTTTAATTAAGATGGAAATAGAAAGCTTAAAATTGTTCTACAACTGTTACAATTCAAAATACCTCATAGTCTATAAGACCACAACTTGGGACTGCAAACAAACTAAAAGTTTCTCTTCTGTAGTAACCAGGGCTTGAATTTTTAATCATAGAATCTTAGAGTTGGAAGGGACCCCAAGGGTCATCTAGTCCAACCCCCTGCAATGCAGGAATCTCAGCTAAAGCATCCATGACAGATGACCATTCAACCTCTGTTTAAAAACCTCCAAAGAGCCCACTACCTCTCATGGGAGGTTCCACTGCTGAACAGCTCTTACTGTCAGAAAGTTTTTTCAAATGTTTAGTCAGAATCTCCTTTCTTGCAACTTGAAGCCATTGGTTCGAGTCCTACCCTCCAGAGCAGGAGAAAACAAGCATGCTCCCTCCTCCATGTGACAGCCCTTAAGATATTTGAAGACGGTTATCATATCTCCTCTCAGTCTCCTCTTTTCCAGGCTAACCATACCCAGCTCCTTCAAACGCTCCTCATAAGGCTTAGTTTCCAGACCCTTGATCATCTTGGTTGCCCTCCTCTGTACACGTTTCAGCTTGTCAACATCGTTCTTACACGGTAGTGCCCGGAACTGGACACTGTATTCCAGGTGTGGTCTGACCAAGGCAGAACACAGTGGTACTATTACTTCCCCTGATCTGGACACTATACTTCTGTTGATGCAGCCTAGAATAGCATTAGCTTGTTTTACTGCTGCATCACACTGTTGACTCATGTTAAGCTTGTGGTCCACCAAGACCCCTAGATCCTTTTCACATGTTCTGCTAGTAAGCCAGAGGTCCTCCATCCTATATTTGTGCATTTGGTTCTTCCTGCCTAAGTGCAGAACCTTACATTTGTCCCAATCTATTAAGGTCATTTTGAATTCTGATGCTGTCTTCTGTGGCATTAGCTACCCTTCCCAGTTTGGTGTCATCTGCAAATTTGATGAGCATCCCCTCAATTCCTTCATCCAAGTCGTTTATAAAGACGTTGAACAACAACGGGCCCAGGACAGAACCCTGCGACACCCCATTTGTCACTTTTTTCCAGGATGACAAGGAACCATTAATGAGTACTCTTTGGGTTCGGTCAGTCAACCAGCTACTAGTGCACCTAACATTTACCTCGTTTAACCCACATACTCTGCACCAGAATAACAGTGTTGTTTTCTCACCCTCCAAGATATCTTCATAAAGTGCATGTACTCCTTCAGGCACAATGACAGCCAAGGCAGTTCCACAAAGAAGTCCAGCACCAAGGACTGTGACCAGCTTCAACCTTTCCTGCAAATAAAATTCAGAATGAATATTTCATAAGAACCAAAATTATGACACACAAATAATTTCTGGATAGATATTGTTTGCTCAAATATACACCTGAGCTCTTGATATTAGAATTGGGAGATGGGGAACAGAAACTTGTTTTGGTGCTAGCCAGATGTGGCACTTCAAGCACTGCCCACTGCCAACCCCAACCTTAAACTCTGGAGCTGGAGAATAAGTCTGGGGCTTTTTTGTGATGGGCAGTGGTGGCACTTTACACACCTTACCACAAAAATGGCTATCCCAACTTTTGTTTGTAGCTTGGAGCAGCATAGCCTTCTGAAACACAGTACAATTGCAGTGTCACTTCTTGCCAGCTCTAAGCTAGAAAGCAAGGGTGGGTCTCCTCTCATTGCCTTTCACCTTGGCAAAACAGGAAAGCAAAAAATGCAAATAACTGTTTAAAAAAGAGAAACCGTATAGTGCAATTCTGAATACATGTATTTGAACTGGCATTTTACCAAGGACTCATTCACACAGCTATCTACAGAAACCCTACAAATCTCCAAAATCTAATGTGGGCATACACTGCAGGAAGCGATAGTCGATCAAGAGGTCTCTGGACCACATACACATAACAAATGTGCAGTGCTTTAAAAACCCATTTTGAGCATTTCCAATATGAGCACCACTTAATATTAATGTATCACACCGCCCTAGCTTGCTTAAGCAAGTTGGTAGAATGGCTCCTTCTGTTTGCATAAGGGACTGAGATCCAGAAGAGGCTTCCAGCAGTGGAATTAGGAACTGAACAAACCAGGCTTTTATTTAACCAGCCATGTAGAAAAATGTAACATCATCTTCCAAATACATAGCTCCTCAGCCACTGTGGCCCAAAGGTACAGTACATCCAAGATTTCTGGAAAAACTTGCAATTAGCTTGCAATAAGCTGAAAAGGTGCTATTCACTACAGAAGTTACACAACTAAGGAAGCTGCCTACTCCAACTACTTGCTCTAAACCAGCAATATTTTCAAATTACTTCCTTCCAGTAGCACCTTAAAGACCAACTAAGTTAGTTCTTGGTATGAGCTTTCGTGTGCATGCGCATGCAAACGAAAGCTTATACCAAGAACTAACTTAGTTGGTCTTTAAGGTGCTACTGGAAGGAATTTTTTTTGTTTTGACTATGGCAGACCAACACGGCTACCTATCTGTAATTCAAATTACTTGTTATCATTCAGCACTTTACAGTCAATTCTCCCACCCAGAAAAAATCACAGTACAGTAAAAAGTATCCAAAAGCAACCGTGCCATTCATGTTTCACACAGTACAGTAGTTGCCGCATATTATAGAGATATTTTCTAATAGTGATATTTAGCATATATGCTTCCTTTAAATATGCTGCCATTTCTGAAGAAATGAAAGCCCATATAAGAACTCAAGTACTGCCTTTAATACATGAAACATTGGGTGTTTGTTTGTTTGTTTGTTTGTATTGTACATTTAACCTTTAGCATCAAATTTCACCCCCCCCCAAAAAAAACCACACACACACTATGGAAGCTTCAAAAAGTATTTTTCAGGAAGTTTCTATCACAACACAACCCCAGTGCTATGTATGCATTTATTTTTTTACATATAAGATCAGAAGAATCAGAGATACTGTACTGTGAGGCAACAGGTAGAGGTTATGGGAAAAAGTTTCCTTGTTCAAGTTTGAGTTACCAGTAAAGGGCAATAACGAAATGATAAAAAATATATCAACATTTTTAGTATAAAGAATACCGAGTTCTCAGTAATTTGGATCTCACAAGACATTTCTGCAAGCTATACAAACCAAGCCACACAATACAAATGTTAAAGGTACTTACCTTTACCAACATTTGCCACCACCACACACACACACACACACACACAAGTCACACACACACACACACACACTTAGCAGACTCTTTTTGAAAAAGCAGACGGTTCTGTCTGTCTGTCTCTCTCACTCACACACACACATACACCGGACGAACTCGCTCTTGCGCGTCTCCCTTACAGAAGCGGACGGACAGTTACGCGGGAGCCTCCTCCTTACCTCGGAAAAGTTCACCGCCAAAGGGATGATCCCGGCCACGTAGCAGCCAACCAGCATAGCCAGGGAGAGCAAGCTGATCGACAAGAAGTCATCCATGGCCGGCTTCTGCTCCTCGGCCGAGCTGCTCGCAGGGGCTCCGACTCACGAGAGGATTCGCCTTCCCGGCTGCGGAAGGGGAAACAGCCTCAGGGGCCGCATGAAGCAGCGAGCGGGACAGCGGCGCCTCCTCCCGCGCCCGCAACAGGCCGAGACCCAGCGAGACACCTGCGCGCCTGGGACGCCGCAAACTCCCCCAAAGGCCGTCCGCCCGCTGTCTCCGCGGAGAGGCTCGGAGGCCCCGAACCAACCCCTGGAGGCTGCCTCCCGTCCCTCGGACTCGCAGCTCGAAGGACAGGCGCCCTTGTGGTACAAGCGGAGAGGCAGGCGGGCCGGCCGGCCGGCTCCCGTCACGCAGAGCGAAAAAGCTACGAGGGAGCCCGAGAAACGGCCTGTGCCTCAGCCTCCCGCCACCTTCCCTGCCGCCAGCATATGCCCAGCTCCCTCAGCTGTTGCCATGAAGGCCAAGTGGCAGCTCCTCACTCGACTTCCTCTTCCCTCACTCGACTTCCGGGACACTTGGCAGTTGAAAGGAGGCCCGTTGACCAAGCAACGCTGCATTTGACTCCCTCGTCTTCCCTGCCCAATTTTAAGATGGCGGAGAAAGGGGAGGAGAGGTGGGCACTGTAACGGGCGGCCATGCGTTGTTGTCTTTTTTGCCAGGTATGAGACGGCCGAGCGAGCCCTCACTAAAGATGGCCGCTTTCTGAGTTCTTGCAAAACTTCCGTCTCCCGCGCGGAGAGAACTGACGGCGAGCCACAGTCTCGCGAGACTTTCGTTATGTACCCGAACGAGAGCCGAATCATGTCTATAGCACTATGAAGGTCTGGTGGGTGTGAGGGCGAAGGTAAGTGTAGTGCTTCCGGTGGTCGCGGTGCATTGTGGTCGAGAAGACGTTGAGAGTTTTGTGCTTCGCGCCTGAGCCGAACGGAACGAGTCGCCATGGTGAGTTAAGGCAGAGAAGCTGCCCTCTCGTCTCCATCAGGCGGGAGCGCGGAAGGGTTTGCTTGGAGAGCGTGGAGGAGAGGGAGGCGCTCCGCATGGCGTCCCCCGGCGCGCTCATCCCGTGCTTCGGGCCTAAAATGGCCATGGCCCCGCAGTAAGGTCCGTTAGGCGGCTGCTGGGCTGCCGCCATATGAAGTGCCTGCTTTCTCTTGAAGGCTGCCGTAGCATCTCAGGAAGAACAGCCGCAGTTCACCCCCACCCCAAAAAGTTGCTCAAACAAATTCGAGCTAATAATGCATAAAGGCGTGCTTTGCTTTCCATTATGCCTCGAGTTGGTGCGTGGAGATAGCAGTGCATGATTTGGAGTTCTCATTATTATTATTTTACTTTGGCGTGCTTTTTATGATAAAAAGCAAACTCAGTAAAGCGGGCAAATCAGGCTATGAATCACAACAAGCAATCTTAACAACAAAGTAAAAAGAAGCAGTGATGTTAAAAAAATAGCTCTATAAAAACCATATCAATGTCAGCTGAGTTCTAAAAGTATATTTTGAGTGAGTTGTTTTAGCTGATGACAAAGGCCCCTTAGTGCTCATATAACTTTCAAACACCAGCTTCAAGCTTGTCTCACCCGTGTTTCTTTTTATGAGGGGGTGTCTTTCTCCCACCTAACCCTTCTCCCCCAAATCACACAGATGTCACTGCTGTGGTGGATGAGAATGAAGCTCACACTGAGATAAGTCTCTTTAAGTTGTATCATTTGAGGGTACTGGATGGAGCTTAATGTACTTTTTACAGATAAACTGCTTGCACAATTGAGAAAAAACAAGCATGCTAGGGAGAATGCAAACCCAGAACACTAATCCTTGTACGGAGGGATTGTTTCACCCTTTGTTGTATGAAGGAGCATTTGATCACAAGAGCAGAGTCCCTACTTACAGTCTCAAGTGTCCAGGTGTGACAATGGAAGGTTCTGTTCCATTGCTGATCTTCAGGCAGAAACATCCCACCCACACGCAGCAGTAGCCACAACAGAGCCTTTCAGGGGCATGTAAGAGAAGGACATGAACTTTCAGGTACCTGAGTATCCTATTTTCTCCAGTGTGCCCACAAACTGACTGCAAAATTGCACCAGTCCTGGAGCTGCTGTAATGTATTCTCTCTCTCCCCACCCCCATTGTTGTAAATTGGAGAGGAACCTGCAGGAGGAAAAAAGAGCCCTCCTCTCCAGCTTCCATACAAAAAAGTTCCTTGCACATAAACAAATCATCTCTTTTCCCCCCCTGCCCCCTTTTTAAAGATCATTCAATTCTGTGTAAATATTAACTTTCTTTTTCTAGTCTCACACAATTTTGCTTGTTCAACCTACCAAACGACCAGAAGGCAGGACTTATGCTGATTATGAATCTGTGAATGAATGCATGGAAGGTAAGTACCACTGCTCTAGAAGGAAAGCCAAACAAGTACCTGCTTAGATCCTTAGGTTGGGCCAGATCAATCATATACTGTGGGGGGCAGAAGGAATCCCAACCCGTAAAAGTCTTGGGTTCTTGCATTATCATGGGGATACAGTAATTACTAGCCTAAGATGTACTGCATGTATTTGAAGAATTACTTTTACCAAATTATGAAGACATTTTAATTCTTCATTATTGGTAGGCTTATCCACATAAGCCAAAGTCTACCTTCTTTCAAGCTGTTGTGATAGCCTATTTCCACACTGATCCCCTTTTCCTATGTTTCTTGACATCTAATAACTTTAGCAAGCTGGGACCTTAAATGTTTCTAATATAAGTCCTGAATATTTTCTTAGGAGTCTGTAAAATGTATGAAGAGCATCTGAAGAGAATGAATCCTAACAGCCCTTCAATTACATATGATATTAGCCAGTTATTTGATTTCATTGATGACTTGGCCGACCTCAGCTGCCTTGTGTAAGTATTTTATAGCTTATTATCTGTAGAGATACATATATTGGCGTACACATGTATTCTGAAGTATACATATTTACAGTGGGATTTTTATGTTCCTCAACAGCTCTGCAAGTTCTGTTAGCTATGACAACATGTATTTTTGGTGTTAATATACATCTGGAACTAGTGTTACTTGAAATGTAACATGATTTTGAGATTGACAAAATCTATCTACAGTGGTGCCTCAGGTTAAGAACTTAATTCGTTCTGGAGGTCCGTTCCTAACCTGAAACTGTTCTTAACCTGAGGTACCACTTTAGCTAACGGGGCCGCCGCACTGCAGTCACACAATTTCTGTTCTCATCCTGAAGTAAAGGTCTTAACCTGAGGTATTATTTCTGGGTTAGCAGAGTCTGTAACCTGAAGCGTCTGTAACCCGAGGTACCACTGTAATAGGATTTCCATTGCACACAGAATGTACACTGGAGGTAGAGATGTGAAGGTCGGTGGGAAAAGATGGAGGAACACCAGTTTTTGCCCAATTCCCCCCTTTTTCTGATCCCTTTCACCCTTCACATTTCTACTTTGAACACCTGTAAATTTTTATCAGCTGTTGCAGAATGAGTGCTTGAATTGTTGGGGCCACCATGAAGTCTAAAAGGGAGCTGTCAATCCAGTATAAAGCACATATGGATGCGTTTGCATGCAGAGAGCTGCAGGTCTGGAGCAGTCACGTCAAAATTAGCTGGTTGTAACTGTTTTAGCAAGATTCATGCATTACAGGGGGTTGGACTCGATGACCCTAGTGGTTCCTTAAAGGTAAAGGTAAAGGTACCCCTGCCCATGCGGGCCAGTCTTGCCAGACTCTGGGGTTGTGCGCCCATCTCACTCAAGAGGCCGAGGCCCAGCGCTGTCTGGAGACACTTCCGGGTCACGTGGCCAGCGTGACATCGCTGCTCTGGCGAGCCAGAGCCGCACACGGAAATGCCGTTTACCTTCCCACTTGAAAGCGGTCCCTATTTATCTACTTGCACCCGGGGGTGCTTTCGAACTGCTAGGTTGGCAGGCGAGTGGTTCCTTACAACTCTACAATTCTGTGGTTCTATGGTAGCAGCCCAAATCCTGTCTCTGATCTATTGAATGAAGGCAACATATTTTTCAAAACCATACAGAGGGCTTGCATCGTATATGGGGCAAATTAAAAAACCATTTACAGTTGCAGTCCCAATGAAATCAGTTGGAATGCAGCAGTACAAATGGTCTATGGTAGGGAAGGGGAACTTCTGGCCTGAGAGGCCATTTTTCCCAAACGACATCTGCCCACCCATCTGCTGACATAACTAGTGATGTCAGCTGATTGGCAGGAGAACAAGGTTTAATCTTGCATCAGCGGCGCACCGTGTTCTTAGCAGAGAACAGGGTTGTGTAGCCAAGGCAGCAGAATTTAATCACTGCTCATCACCTGTTTGGGGGATGGGGGCTAAAGCCCTTTGCAAAAGTGCTCTTTGAAGCAAGCTGTCAGGCAAACATGGAACCCCATCGTTGCTAAGTCCAAGTAGGTGCAGCAATTTACTTCCCCCTGCCTTCCCACCAGTCAACACAAGCAGAGCTATGGGTGTAGTGGTGGTTACATTAAGTAACCCTGCTCCTTAGCTGGGGTTTGGATTGCAGCCTTAGTTGGATTTCATTCTTATTTCAGCACAACTTGGAAAAAGAATACAGGCAAAATATTAAGAGAAATAATAATAAACACTGTAACGATGGAATCTGTGACTCTTCTGTAGCATTCAAGATTATACTAATACATCGGTAGTGTATTGCATTGTGTGAAAATAGCATTTCTTAGCCTGATTTCTTTTATTTCTAGCTGATGCTCCATCTAGAGGATTGGAGAAGAAACAGTGTTTCTCAAACTTGGGTCTGCAGCTGTTGCTCGACCGCAACTCTCATCATCCCTGACCACTGGTCCTGCCAACTAGGGATGATGGGCATTGTAGACCAACGACAGTTGCAGACCCAAGTTTGAGAAATACTGCTAGTTCAAAGCTATGTAATACTTTAAAAGACAAATCAGTGTATAAACATTCTTGCTATATTCTGAACTAATTGAAGTTTCCAAACAGTCTTCAAGGGTGACCCTATGTATAACAAGCCTTGATAACACAAGAGTCTGGATAACTTTTTCAGGCTATTGCTGTCTAGGAGGTGCCATACACAAGCCTGGAAAGATCCTGTGGAATCCAACCACACAAATGCCACAGAACTAAAGTAGGAGCTGTGTGCCCTATTTCTGAAAGACAGACAATTCCAAAGGTGGTGTGACTGATATCAAAGGCCACAGAGCTGTGGAAGGACCAACTTCCCCAGTGATTTCCCCTTCACAGATATCCAGCTGGGCAACCAATGCAATTTCAATGCTACATCTAAGAAGCAATTGAAGTGGATTTATATAGTGGTTTTCAGCCAGTGTGTCATGGCACCCTGGGGTGCCTTGAATGATGGCCAGAGGTGCCGCAGACAACATTGACCTTTGTACCTCTTTCTTTTCCTCGCTCCTCTGATGCCCTCTTGTGTTGCTGCCTCCCAAAGACTTGCACAGCTATTTATTGCAGCAGCCCTGGCTACAAGCTTCGCAATGAATGGTGCCTCTGGGAGGCATCTCTCTGCGGGGGGTGGGGAGGCAGCTCAGAGACCAGGGATGGCAGCAGCAACTGCTTGGAGGACTCCCAAGGGGAGAGGAGGGGAGAGGAGAGGAGGCTGAGGGAACACTCCACAAGGGAAGGTGTTTGAAAAAGCGTGAGAGGCTGCCAACTCTGTAGACAAGGAGTGACCTATCTGGACTCCTGAGCTCCACACGGGTGCCGCAGAAAGAAGGTAGTTGGTCAAGGGAACCGTGAATTCAAAAAGGTTGAAAACCTCTGGTTTGATCAAATGGTATCGAGTTACATGGCTACTGCCTGTTAAAGCACATTGCCTGAAAATGGGAGTTGTGCCACTAACTGCTATTTATTGTAATCCTCTGGGTTCAGGGCAGGTATTTTACAGTGTAGTGTTGCAACTTCCTTCTTTGTTGCCAGAGTATCTCCTTTTTGAACCCAACCGGATGTACAGTCTCATGGCTATGGCTGAGGTTGTGAACCATGAAGGGTATGGGTCTAGAAAAAAATGTTAGGCCGCATCACTCCTTGCCTGTACGAGCGTATTAGATCAGAAGTATTAATTAGTTAAATCATAGTTATTCATATTTATTTAGATTTTATAAAGCCACCAGAGGGCATACTTTGAGCATGAAATATTTTGTGTTTTTTAGCTGTACAGGTCTAGATGGTGGTTCTGCTACTGCCTCTTCCATGGCATATTATCAATGACAAATTAAAACCATACAGACATGCTGATGGCACACAACTGTGTTCAGCACAGCCAGACATTTATAGACCTGCTTATTAGCTTGCAGTTATTATACCTTTCATTAAGTTGAGATGCAGAGTTGGTACAGGCTTGAGATTAATATTTGTTTGAAACTTTGTTACTAGTGCTGTGTTAATGGTAACCACTGAAGGCATTGTTCCAGCATCACAAGATAATTGCATTTGGAAGCAAGTGGAGACTATTTTGGGCTGGGCTTTTGGAAGCAAGCTCTTAGAAATATATAAATTCTTCCAAGATACACATCAGACTTGCTCTGTGACCCTAGACATTATCACCCTTCATTTTTAGAATTGCAGGGGTGTTTATATTCTTCTTGGAAAATGGGATCCTGATAATAGGTATTTCTTCCACTTAGAAATCACTGGTTCATTCTAGAAGAGAGACCATGGCTTCACTCGCATTTTTGACCTGCTGACTTTGGCTTAGCCTCACATACTGTATTCTTTATTTACAAATGCTTTGGTTCAGCAAACGGGACATGGCTGAGGTACCCTTACCATTTGTATAGGGCAAATGTGAGCTCTGAAGCAGCGGGCATTGATGGGCAACAGGGGTGTGTGTGGAAACCCCTGCTGGATTGAAACTATTGAATTTTGATTCCCAGCAGACACTGTTCTAGCATCCTATTGTTGTATAAGCTGCTGTTCAAAAACTTGTGAGGTTGAGGCTGATTGGTTTTGTGACATTTAAGAAATGCATGATGAACAATATTAACTGACCTGTTCTTTTCCCCTCACAGTTACCGTGCTGATACTCAGACATACCAGCCATACAATAAAGACTGGATAAAGGAGAAGATCTATGTCCTCCTCCGCAGACAAGCTCAGCAAGCAAGCAAATAGACACCATGGTTAAGGGGGTTTTGAGGGAAGGGTTTTGACAACAGGTGTGTACAGCGTTCTGTAGTAAAAGTTTTGTATTGTAGTCCTCCTGTTCATTCTTGTTAGCCTGTATCTGAGACAAAAATCTGTTAGAATTCCCAGGGACTTTCTCAGTTTAATACTCGAAGAAAAAAAGATATGCCTTCCACAGGTCTTTTAGTTTAATTGTCTTTGCTTAGACAGTTCTTCTTTCGTTCCTCACTCCCGGGATTGTTCAATTCTGCTTTACCACATTCGCTGTATGTACTCCTCTTTGGGGGTTTTTCCAATGTTATTTCTTGGAGGCAGTCACGGTGAAGAATAAAATAAATACTCTTTAGATAAATGTGTTGAGTGGTGGCTTCATAAGCCATGTAAGTTAAATATAGCCAGCTTGTGGAACTAACAACTTGAAGATTGAATACTGATTGGCGCATGAAAGATTTTGAGTTGCTGCAATCATGACAACATGCAAATATAACCAAATAGACTTGGACCCTTGGTTTGGTACTTTGAACAGGCCTTGGTTTCCTGCCAATTATTGTTTCAATGTGGTTTGGGGGTAGAGCTTTATAAATTGCTGAAATTGAAATATCAGTTGCTGGCTACCAACAGCAGGAGATAGTTGCTGCTGTCACATCCTGCTTATGGACTTCCTATAAGCATCTGTTTGGCCACAAAGTGAAACAAGTTGCTAGACTTGATAGTCCTATTCTCACACTGGTGGTGAGATCCGAGGCCTATCTGCTGCTGAGGCATTCTTTGTTGGGTTCAGGGCAGCCATTCCCAATTCAAAGATATCAAGCTACTTTTAAAATAAACCATTCCTTGATACTCGGTCTCTTTAAGTACCGTACGTTTCCGTGTATAAGACTAGGTATTTTTATTTAAAAATCATGCTAAATGGGTGGTGTTGATTGGCTCAACAACTCTGGGCAATCTCCGCAAAAAGCTCAACAACTCTGTGCCATCTCCCCTCCATTTTCTTAAATTTGAGTCCCCCTGTACATGGAAAAGGACAGTACTTAACATTTTAGTTAGAAGAGAACTTGCACATGTTCGGTTAGCTTTCGAGCTGGCAATTGGGTACATGACATCTCTACTTCCTGATTCTCACAGCTATGTATTGGCCTAACAGCACTGGAAATATTAGTGCAAATATTTTATCTCCCACCTTTTATTTCTGGCTATCAAATGCATCTCTTTTAAGAAACTTTGTTCCAATAGTTTCCAGCCCACACACTGCAACTATCAATTATTTAGAGGCTGGGCTTTCTGTTCCAGCTGAATTTGTGAGATGTTTCAATGAGAACAAATAATTTGTTTCTCTACCAGCTCAACTGTTTTATGATTCAGAAAGCATCCTTGGAGCCTGGGATACTTTTGTGTGTGTAGCATAAAGTCTGAATTCATCTACGTAACATTGCTTTGAGCATATCTTTGTGCACTGTGACTCTAGCATTCAACCATTTGGCCACTGCTGACAGAATAAGGGGCTCTTCTGGGCAATTTGAGAGCAAGGCACACATCTATACCTGCCTTTCCCAACCTGATTCCCTGCAAATATTTTGTATGAAAGAGCCACATAGGTTTTGGGTTTGATGGGAGTTGTTTTGAACAGGGGCACCATGTTGAGGAAGTCTGTTCTACATAAACTTGACATTTTGTTAGTATTAAATTGGAAAGAGATACTGCATACAGCTTAGCAATTATGTCATACGCACAAATCTCTTGAGTCATAGATTATTTTCAAGCACAACAAAACCAAGATTCCTTCTATTCTGGTAAATATAGTGGCATCTCTATATCCAAGTGATTTCAACTGGGAAAGAGAGTTCAATCAATATATAGAGAACATGTAAAAGCTACTAGGATAGTCTTACATGTTTGGTGTGCACTTCTAATTGGTATTCTCTCTCTACTAAGATTTATCTCTCTGAGGTCGAATCTACACATATAGTGGAATGAGGTGGTAAAACAGACTGCCACTTTCAAGCAGTCAGGGGTGGGGTGTCATGCTTTCTTAAATGCTCTCCTGAATGAAAAAGCCTGCAATTAAGAGACCTAGCACAGGAGATCAAGACATGCGAAAGGATTTTGGCTTGCCAAACAAGCCACTGAGCAGTTTTTGCAATGTAAGCATTTTGGACTAACCATTTGCAGAGCATCTGTATCTTCAAATCTTTGAGAAGACTTAGCTGGATCTGCCCAGACAAGCAACCTGTTTTATATTGGGGGTTCTCAGACTAATATAAGGTAGACCTACTTTATCTGTGAGGAATGTAATAGGAAACTATAGTGCTGCATTCAGCATAAGCAATGCTGTTGTGTTGCCTTTCAAAAGGCCTTTCCTCAACCTGAGGGTGTGTGTCATCTGTAAATGTTTCTTCCATTTTATGTGCCTTAAACCTCACAAGGTAACTTCTCCCTCCCTCCTGGTATTGTTTCTCCCCCCTTTCGTAACCTTTATTTTCTTTATATAACAGATTATTCTTCCTCTTTCCCCTTGTTTGTGATTCACTGAAGAAGTTACAATTAAAAATAGATTTGTTTTATTTTAGAGCATTAATGTGACCCCTAATGTAAATACACTAGTCAGGCAGCATATAAAATACAATTATATAAAACGATTGCAAGACAGGGTCAACAGTTTAAAAAATCATGAAGGGTCAGATCCAGCGTAGTGAGAGAGGGATCTTCTTGCACAGTGAGGCTTCTTCATCACTTTCTCTACAGCAGCTCTCATCATGCTCCCAAAATCTGCTCTGGAGCCTTGGAAAGAAGGGAAACCAGAAGTCCCATTGAGCAAGTGGGTTTCCATTGTGCAAACAGATGGGCGTTAGAGGTTGCCCCAATACATTGTCTGCCTCATAGAGTCTGCCAGAATGGAAAGGTCTCCAGTAGCCATCCAAACAGCGATGGAGGGGGATTAGAGGATCTTTTAACAATAACCTGCTTATAATTTCCTGGGGGTGAGTGGAGGGAAGAGGTTAGATCCCTGCATAATATCTTCAGAACTGCTTGGGAGAAGAAGGTTCCAGGCCCCCTCTAGTCAAAAGAGGACCAACATTGGAGGACTTTAAGAAGGAAGTTCTCCCATCAGCTAGGAAACCAGCTGTGTCTTCTACTTCTTGCTATGATGACAATGAATGCAAGGTAAGTGTTGATGCTTTTACTACACCTTTCACTCAGTGCTGATCTGATTCCAGCACCTCTGCAACACAGACAATGCCTCATTAAGGAGCTACTTTGAAAGGTGGACTGGAATCTACTTTTAGAGTCTTAATTAGCAGAACAGCTGCAGATCCCCACCAACTAATCCTACAGAAAATCAAAGCTTTTCAAGTGCTTTTTTGTTTGTTTATGAATAGGTGCCGTAGCATAATAGCTATACAGCAAAATACCTATGAAAGAACTGCAAATATCTCTACTAACTGCAGCATTTGTAACAGCTGAACCATTACATTTCTTTTCCAGTACAAATCTCTGCAAAGCAATCATAGAATCCTGCAGGGAAAAGTTAAAGCAAACAAATTTCCCATCTAAAATACTTAAATGCCCAGTGTAAGGCTGAGATGCCAACAAAATCCCTGGCTGCAGCTACCATAACGGTTATGGAGCCAGATTTACAGAAGCAGACCTCAGAGTTGCAGGCTTTTATGTTCATGGTAAATGAAAAAAGCACAAAAAAGTATATATTTTTACCATTCTTGCTTTTTTAATGAGCTCGTGACATTGACAACAACCAAGCAGTCTTCCAAACAAATAGACGTTTAGGGTTTTTTAGACAATTTTTTTGTGTTCACTGCAAGGATTGAGCAGCAAGCTTCGTTCAGGTATCAAAAGTTTACAATTCTGGTAAAAATTTAACTTCTGCTATCTTTTCTGATAATCAGGGCTATATGCACTGCTTTTTTTCTACAAAAATGTTTAGGGGTACTCTCATTTTCCTACTCGTATTGAAATATTGCCCCTCAATGAGGCCAAACTTAGATTCACAACATGTTTAGGGGTATGTGTACCCCCAGGAAAAAAACACTGGCTATATGTAATAGGTTTTTATGAATGTCTCAGCTAAGAGCTAAGTGTGGTGATGATGATGATGATGATGATGAATCTAATTTATATACTTCTCTTTGTCAAGTTAGTGGCTAGAATGTCAGACTAGGACCTGGGAGACCACAATTCAATTCCGCACTCGGTCATGAAACCTGGGCCAGTCACTGCCTCTCAGCCTATGCAATCTCACAGGGTTGTTGTGGAGATCAGATGAGGATGGGGAGAGCCATGTATTGGGCTGCTTGGAGAGAAAAAAGGGATATAAATCCAATAAATGAAGACATCACTAGTAATGAAGGCTATCACTGACTACTACCGATCTTGCGTTGTGTACATTTTATTGCTGTATCCTATCACCACAGCGGGTGGTGCTGTGGTCTAAACCACTGAGCCTCTTGGGCTTGCCAATCAGGTTGGCAGTTCGAATCCCCACGACGGGGTGAACTCCCTTTGCTCGGTCCCAGTTCCTGCCAACCTAGCAGTTCAAAAGCACGCCAAAAAGTGCAAGTAGATAAATAGGTACCGCTCCGGCGGAAAGGTAAACAGCGTTTCCATGCGCTGCTCTGGTTTTGCCAGAAGCAGCTTAGTCATGCTGGCCACATGACCCAGAAAAACTGTCTGCGGACAAACGGCCTGTAAAGCGACATGAGCGCCGCAACCCCCGAGTCTTCTGCGACTGGACTTAACTGTCAGGGGTCCTTTACCTTTACCTTTTTATCACTTCTGAGAGGTTGAAGAATCTTCTCATTGTTCTGCTGAAGGGCAGAAATGCTTATCTACTTCTTTAAAGAAAACCAAAGCTATGAACATATCCTTGTCAGGATATTTTTCTTTACAAAATAAACAAATATGGTTTTGTGGTTTGTCTCAGTGCCACTTTCAAGTCTCATTCCTCTTCACTGGCGATTTGTTTAGGGTCCCCACCCGCTTTTATAAACAGTCGTATGAATTTCACATTGCTAATGCAAAATACATTGAAACAAAGTTCCCTGCAGAGCAGAAAGCACCCACCCACCCACCCAAAAGAGTGCACATTATAATGACGACCTCTTAGAGCAGAGCTATATACTCCACTGCCTATGGTGCAAGTGGACAGGAGTAGAGAGGTATGGAGTATTTTAGATTACCCAGCAAAGCATTCACCTCTGTTCATCACTGAAAATTGAGTATAGATAGAAGATTGTGGAAGTACCCAAGCACACAGTATATCCTCTCAGCTCTGCCCCCAGCAAGCCTTGCTCTCTTGTTGGGGCTGAGTGTTTCATCAGGAGGTGCTTGTGGAAAAAT